ATCTATCTATCTATCTATCTATCTATCTATCTATCTATCTATCTATCTATCTATCTATCCATATCTGTCAACTATGTATGTTCCTGTTTAGTGTTAGGATATGGACATCCTGGTGCCATAAAATTTGTAATCATATCCACACTCTGAACTTTACATGTACAAATTAAGTCAAATTAGGAAATTTGCTCCATTTCCACATATATATTTTACTTATACAAGATCATTACAGCCCCATGCCTTGAGTGGAAATGTTATTTAGGATTTTTCAGAATCCACAAAATTTCATCTATATTTTATTGGAGTCAGGTATGAGAGCTAGAAGCATGCTTTTCATATTTAAAAGTGGAGATTGCCAGAAATTTAAATTCTGCACTAAGTATCTTGTGAATTTGGGGTCAGCTATCATATCCCGGGTAGGAATATGCAGTTAATCATAAAGGAGGCTGACAAACCTCATTTTTAAAATCTTGTATTAGAACTGCAAAATTTAATTGGCTTCCATTTCTCAGCAGTTACATTTATTCTGCAGTAAAGCTATAGCCTTTTCTGCACCCACAGAATCAGCACTATAAAACTGCACATATCTTGCAAATTACCGCAACCACATACAGAAAGGCTAATTTTATGGCCAATTCCCACCAAGAGTGGCACCTCAAGAGTAGGCAGATTCTGACCAACTGGGAAAGCCTTCTAAGCCCCCATTCACTCATATGTTTTGCCTGTCTTCCCATTGTGGAATTGTAGCCCTGAGGAACTGCTCCCTTACTAATGTGTACAAGAAAGTACATACAGACTAAGCACTAAAAACAGTTGGACTTTACTACACGCATGGTTATACACAAAGGTGCTCTTTCAAAAGGCAACTGGAGTTTTTTTTCTTGAAGACATTTCACCTCTCATCCAAAAAGCTTCTTCAGTTCTTGCAAGAACTGGAGGGAACTGAAGAAGCATCTTAGATAAGAAGCGAAATGTCAAGAAAAAAACGAAGTCTAATTGCCTTTTGAAAAGGGATCTTTGGGACAACCATGACCTGGATGACCGAGAATCTCCATAGACATGCATGATTACACAGGCAGCGTTTGTCTGGTATATTTGCTGCACGCATAAAATGTAAAAAAAAACCACAAACCCTATATGATAGTTTAGATCCACAAGACCTCCTATTGTATCTAGTCACTTTCCACGTGCAAATATTCTTTGCAATTGGTAATTGTGAGCGGTTACTTTTTCTCATTTTCATTGATGCAAATAATTCAAATGCAGTTGGCCTGGGCGGGACAATTGTTCTGCTTTCTGTATTTTCTAAAGTAGGATAAATATAACTGAAATTTGCTTGCCTACTGCCTTCTAAAGTGGTGGTATCTATCTCTAAAGAATTCTGTAGAGATTCTTGAAATATGCCCTAGAGAAAAGAACTATTATGGGCACTGAATTCATACAAATAATAGTTCCAAGATTACCTCAGAGATCATCTAGTTCTAGATTTCTCTACTCTGCTTCTGTGGGAAGATTATATTTCACAAGAGATTAATGGACTTTGGCCCATCATCCGAGGTTCCAATAAATTTCTTTTTAAAAATCTGGGAGGTTCCAGGCCTGAAAGTTTGAAACTCCTAATCTAGTCTGATTTAATGTCCAGAGAAATTCTAATAGATGGCTCTCCAGACTGTGTGTGAAGACCTCTGGTGAAAGAAAACATACCATTTCATGAGGCAAGCTTGTATACTGGTTGACACCACCAGGAAATGCTAAGCAAGACAGCCTTTTGCTCCATCTTGCTTCCCACAGTTTTAAGTGAATCATTGCAGTTATGTTAGTAACATGCTTGTTAAGTGAATCTGGCTTCCCCACGGATTTAGACTCTGCCATGCTTCACTGCTCTATTTACAAATTTAAAAAGACAAATCTTCAGTATAAGCATGTCCAGCCATACTCCACTCTTGCAGATGGAAGGCAAAGGCAAAATGGAAGTTCAATCAGGATCATGTCAGGGTTCCCTGACTTGCTCTTGGGTTGCCAGATTACACATTAAATGTCAGGTAACATCTGAACTCAGGACTTTTTGGACTCACAATCAGTAGCACAGTCATCTTTTTCTCTCTTTATTATTTTCAGTATGTACCTGCCATTACCTGCTAGCTAAGCTGGGAAAGGTTTTAAAAAACAGGATTCCTTCTTTTGCCACAGCAGTGGTTTCTGCCTCAACTTGCAGAGAAATTATCAGCTTGATTAAACAGATATATGAAAAGCATGTTAGGTCCCTTGTCCAACTTGCTGAAACTCCCAAGATAACTTGCTGGTCTTAGAAACATTCTCCTCTATCGTTGTATTGGAACTGTTTAGATTTTATAAGGATTCTTTGTGGTAGACTTATCCAAACCTTTTATATAGACAATTCTGAATTTCAGTTCCATTTGAGTTTTTTGGGAAATGAGTCAGTGGTGAGATTCAAAAAATTTTTACTACTGGTTCTGTGGGCGTAGCTTGGTGGGCACGGTGTGGCTTGGTAGGCATGATAGGAGAAGGATACTGTAAAATCCCATTCCCTCTCCACGCCAATAACCTGCTTTCCAGCTCTGTTCTCCTGTGCAGGGCAACAAAAGAAGACCCAGCCAATCAGCTGGGACTCAGGCAGAGAATAGATGGGGACAGGGCCAGTCAGAGGTGGTATTTGTCGGTTCTCCAAACTACTCAAAATTTCCACTTCCGGTTCTACAGAACTGGTCAGAACCTGCTGAATACCACCTCTGAAAGGAGTGCGGAGGAAGTGTCTTTCCCTTTATAAAAGTAGAATACAGGTAGTTCTCAACTTAAGACCACAATTGAGCCCGAGATTTCTGTTGTTAAATGAAACATTTGCTAAGTGAGCTAGTAACAGTTAGTAGTTAGTAACAGTTGTTAATGAATCTGGCTTCCCCATTGACTTTGCTTGCCAGAAGCTTACAAAAGGTAATCACATGATGCTGTAATAGATATGAGTCAGTTGCCAAGTGTCTGAATTTTGATTATGTGACTATGGGGATTCTATAACGGTCATAAGTGTGAAATACAGCCAGAAGTCACTTGTCTATGGAGATTCTCAGTCATCCAGGTTGTGGTTGTCCCAAAGGTCCTTCCATTCCCCACTATCCAGTCAGAGCCGAAGAAGCTTTCTTGGGTGAGAAGCAAAAGGTCTTCAAAAAACACCCAGAAAGTCCAGTCACCTCTTGAAAAAGTACCTTTGGGACAGCCATAAGTCACTTTTTGGGGTCGTTTAGTGACTTTGAACAGTCACTAAAAGAACTGTTGTGTGAATATTTTTGATATAATGGGAAAACAAACAAAATAAGGCATGAATGACTCCAGCATTACTGGAGTTTATTGAACTGATACCACTATCGAGTTGAGTGTGAAAGAAATATTGCTGCCTCAATTTTGGCTCTTGCCTACAAGGCACATTATGTCCACCAGCTCCATTTAGCAGTTTGAACAGAATCTAAATTGTTTTTGCCTCATAGATAATGCAAGGCCTGTTTTCCAAATGTGAAAAAAAAACCTTATTAGTTTCAAAACTAACATTTTTAATTGATAGATTTGTCATGAACTGTTCAGTACAACCTGTGGAAGTCAATCCAATATTTGGAAGCAATGTAAAATCTGCCCTTTTCTTTTTCATTGCAAATAGTATACCCCTAAAGAGGTTGTTTTTTTTTTTTGAGTAAATGACAAATCTAATAACAATGACACCTTCACAGCTGTCATGAAATCATCTAAATGAGTTAGTTAAGTGAGTTAAGGTAACAATAGGTTCATACTCATTAGTAATCATAACTAAGGGAGTAAACCCTGAATGACCTCTAAATCCAAATAAATAAACTTTAGGAGAAAAATACAGTACAATGTCATGTTTAAATTATTTTAAAAATGAACGCTCTTTGTGAAACTATACCAATACTCTTTTCTTCATTTAAAAAAAAAACACATTCTTAGTGGTTTTGCAAATACTTTCTTTCCATAAACGGTTTCCATTCCAATCCAATGCTATGGAAATAATTGGGACAGACACGATTTTTTTTCTACCAGTGTTTTAACATAACAAACTGTTTTAACAACATTGCCATTTCTCAGAACTCAATTTTTATAACACAAACAACATCAAACCAGTTCAACCTTGACCCACCATGATGCTCTAGAAGTCTGCAGGGTTGTTTTTTTTTTTAAAACACCACTTTGGTTAACAGCTATTCAGTCTTTTTTTTTTTTCCACAAGAAAAGATATATTCCTTTAGTTTTTACCATTGTCACTAAAAAGGCATATCCGTGGCATGTGGTGCCAATCTATGTCAAGGGGATCAAGACTGCAGCAGTTAAGGCAAGGATAAATCAGCGGCACTGAGGTTTTAATAACTGGGATTGTACCCAAAACAGTGATATTTGTGGTGAACCAGAAGAACTGAAGAAAGCCTTCTCTTTCCTTAGAGCTGTGTTTTCCGCAGGCACTTGTAAGTTGCATAGTTTTGAAGCAGAATGACACCTTCTCATTTCCACTTCCTTGGTCAGAATTGTAGCTTAGAGGGTTTTCTCTCAGTGCTACAAAGCCTCCACATCTGAGTAGCTGCATAGCATCTGAGTAAATGAAAGGCCATCTGACCTTAGGCCAAAGCCTAGAATCCATTGATTTCACATTAGCAGTGACTCCTGAAGTCCTTGAGCTAGATTGCTTTCTCTGGAGGTCTATGTGGAAGTTCTCTTCATAGGCAGTTTAAAAAAACAACATATGGAGATCTCCTCTGCCTCTCCATTGACTCCCTGTTCCCTCCCCCAGCCCTACCAGTGAATCTGAGATAGCAACATCAGGAAAAAGAAGGATTCTCTGAAGGGTGTGGGGGAGGGAAATAAAAGACATAGCCCACTAAATAACTCTTTAAGAAATAGAGATCCCTCTGACTGGAGAATAAAAGAAGGCACTTGGTGAGACATTCAGCCACTTTCCATCCACAATCTACTCAATGAGTCAATAACCTCAACCTTGTGATCCAGCTAACCAGCAAAGAGGGTTCTGTGGAGGAAGATTTTGTGGACGTGGTGACAGGCGGCCTTTTAGCAGCATCCTCTTGGAAAGGGATGGTTGCGCTGTTGTGAAGATCCACATTAACGAAACACCTGCTTCCCCTGATGTAGTCGGCGCCTTTTACTATCTGTTTATCCGCTACTGGCCTGGGAAACGGATGCGGCAAAGGGGAGTTTTCTTCAATGATGGGTGGGATTCTTTCATTGCTGAAGTATCGGCAGAGGGCGTTTTCAGCTGGAAAACCAAGCAGGAAAGTCTTGTAAGAATTTGCATTCAGAAACTCTGCAGAGACTAAGGTGGTAAAAATGATTTTTTTTTTCCCTGTCTGTTGTACAGAAGGAATATAATCTGAACTGGCCCCCACATCTTTTTTTTATACTGACATTCTTTTTCTTAATCTGCTAAAACCTGAATCTTAACCATCGGAAACAGCACCGGCCCAAATTTAAATTGATGAGTAAAGTTTCTACTTTAGAAATTAATAAACTATACATAAATGCATTCATCTTTAAAATCCCATTGTTGTTTCCTTTAGGAAAGAAAATAAATTTAGTAAGGGACAAACTGAAACACATGAATTGCAAGGGAAATATTTAATTCCTCAGTCTTTCTTTTGGAACTCTATTACCATGCTATATCTCCATGTCTCTTCCTTCTAAACAAGCTTCTGAATCACAGCAAACTGAGACTGCTTCAAAATCTGACACAGATACAGTGATGTAATGATGCAAACTGCACACTTGCATCCTAATGTTTGCTGCAAGCATGCACTCACTTTCTGCATCATGGTGCATGTTTTGGACCTGACACACACAAATATATACATACAGCCTTTGCAAACACCAATGTTCTGACAAGCTCTAGGCGACATACATTTTCCTCTTTTGGTCCAGTACTTAAGATTTGCTAGCTGCGAGCCCTTTAAACAGTATTTTAGCAACAATTGAATGTCCCAACTCAGTATTCATCTTAAATGAAAAATTAAAACCGGTGTTTGTGCAGAAGTCCACAATTTCTGCTAGGCTAAGGGCCGCAATATGGGTGACATCAAACTATACTGTGATTTCATTTACGCTTCATTAAAATTAAACATAGGTCTTGATGTGATTACTCTCCAATCAAGCATTTCATAATTTCCTCAAGTTATCGCATTAAACATTAAAATTTGGCAAGCATTTCCAGAGGTGTCTTATGCATACACCCAGGGCTTTCTGGAGCCACAGGCAGCCAGGGTTGTGCACTTTTACTCTCAGCATAATAACAGCTTATTACATTAATATCTGGAGTACAAAGTATCATCGAAAGCACCTCTCCTATTAGATTAACATAACATAAACTAAGAGTCAATATTGCTTTGACATTTGCCATAAGAATGTCTAGTTTGATGACCCCAGGGAGGCTATCTGATTAAATAAATAAATATGATGCTTGTTCCTCTCCGCTTGGCAAATGCACAGGTGGAAATCTAACATTAAACTGCAACCTGGACCATGGACAGACATTCTCGTTGGGAAAAGCAAGTGAACTTCAACAAATTCCTTACCTTTTCTCCCCATCCCTCGTGGCTTAGAGAAAGATTCTGCAGCTCCCGACCAATTTCCATCAGCAGGCATAGACAGTGGGCGAGGCTTTCCTAAAAACCACAGATAGTGTTACTGCAGAGCTATTAAGTTATGTGATCTCTAGGTTCTTGGTAGTTTCTTAGACTTTTAATTACTAGGCTAGGTAACATTATCAGTGCAAGAGGGGGATATTTTTGCCTTGATGATACAAGAACCCAACCCTTCAACCCTGACCTACATACTCTCCTCCATGCAATCTATGTAATGGCAATTATTGTGAGAAGACAATTTTAAACAAGTTCATCTAACGCCAGCAGCTCCCATCAAGATACCACTGGAGTCTCACAAGCAAGGCATCTTTACTTCTTAATATCCAAAGCTAGACTCTTCAGTGTACGGAAGTTTATTTTAATTAACAAAATTCATAGATACTGATTTACTAGTTATTAGTAATCTGCAGATGAACTGATAATTATTTTTCAATTATTACATTAATTTGTATGTTATCCTAGTTAGCCTACAGAAAATAATATAATACAAATATTTTAAAAGCCATTATGTCTACCAGGTCCCTCAGGCAACAATTCCCATATTTGAAAAATCCCATGCATTTATCCCATGCAACTCAAAGTGAAATGAGTGATTTTATACATACAGAAAAATCTAGTTAACATATCAAAGCAATCTGCAGGAGAGTCTTCCAGTTTGTTCTTTATCCAACAGGGAGCAAATAACCTTAAACAGAGCCATTGGATGAATTTCTCTATACACACAAGTTAAGTGTGGAGAAGTATGACTTTCACCACTCTTATCACCACAGCCTATACCCATGTTGGTGAACCTATGGCACATGTGCCAGAAGTGGCATGCAGAGCCACTTTTGCTGACACAGGAGAGCTTGCCCGGAGGAGTCCCACTGCACATGCATGCACGCCACTGCCGCCCGACAGTTGATTATCAGGTATTTGGTGCGCATGCACGGGGGATTGTGCGAGAGATGCGCACGCATCCTCAGAGATGTGCAGCGTACGCAGAGGATCACGTGCATGCAGAGATGCATGGCGTGGGGGGATTGCGCGCATGTGCAGATGCATGGCGCATGGGTGGAATTGCGCGCACATGTGCAGATATGGGGGGCATATGGGGGATCATGTGCACATGCGCAGGGGGCTTGGGGGCCCCCAGCACGCATTACCTTCTGGGTGCTGGCATGTGAGCACAATTATTGGCACGGGACCCAAAACAGTTTAGCCACCACTGGCCTAGACCTAAACAGGGGCATCCACTTGTATTCAATTATTTTCATTCTTCACCTTCTGCCATCATGACTGTATGTCTCCCTGTGGTTGTTCTGTTTCCCACAATTCTTTGGTAAGCCACTCATTCTACTCTATCTCCATATTCCTGGACTTGTGTGGCACAACTGACTATCTTCTGAGATGGGTAAAACGGGGACCCAGATTGTTAAGGGCAATATGCTGATTCTGTAAACTGCTCAGAGAGGTCTGTAAAGCACTGTGAAGCAGTACATAAGTCTATTAAAGGATCCAGGCACCTGAGATGGACCACCTTAATTGATCTTCTACTTTTGTCTCTTTGGCAGAGGGTAAGAATGGAACTAATTCTTTTGAGTTAAATTTCAGCAACGCAAGAGGGGTCTACTTGCAGATCTACTCAAAAACTGTCTAATAGGTTCAATGGGAATTGATACCATGTCAGTGAGTATAAGACTGCAAATGAAAAATTATAAATTGCAGATACATAACTGAGCTTATACTTTAAAAACCTTTTATGTATTTTTCATAAGAGTATTTCCATCAGTTACAGATTCGCTAAGTTTTAGCCTTCTAGAAAGGAAGAGTTTTTAAAGACTTTTTAAAAAGGTGGGAGTTAACTCTCAGAAGAAGAAAAACCAAATATAGGTTCAGAGTTTTCTCACCGAAAGATGGAGTTTTCTCCCTCATCTTCGCTAGTGGAATATTTGTTTCTCTGGGATAGGCAGGCAACGGATCAGAATCTATCAGAGTAAACCTTCGTCTTCTACACTCCTGATCAAGGAAAGAATTGGGAGATTCTGCACCTTTAGAACCAGAGAGAGGCTGCCTAGGTTTATTGCCTCCTCCATAAATGAAGTTCCCCTTCTCGTCCCTGAAAAGATATTAGATTCAATTAGCAACATAAACAAAGGGCCTGCAACCCTGAACCCTGAGCAATTCTCAGTTGCCACCTGAGAGATACTGAAAAGAGTAAACAAAGAAGGAAAACAAAAGGAACTTGGACAGAGTTCATATGTGTGCTGCAGTTGCAGGGAAAAGTAGAAAATGTGGGACAGCCCCAGAATTACATTTTCTTCTTTTCTGTTTTCTTTATAAAGTCCCTAGCTTTTACGGTGCAAGCAACAGCATGTTTAAAGATAACTCAAGATATTATCACATAGTACTCAGACAGGCGGCTGAATAAATCTCAGTAATCAGAAGAATGGACTAAGTATTCTGCAATTCAATTGTCCTTCCCTAATACTGGCGGCAACTCAATAAATCATGCAAGAGACCTGATTCATAGTTTTTTCAATAAATTACACAATGAGAACCTATGTATCATTTCCTAATCTATACTGAGCAGAAGGACTCAATTTTTACCTTCCTTTAGTATTCTATTAATGTTATATTAGATTTTTTTAAAACAAGGGAATTACTGATATATTAGATTTTTTTAAAACAAGGGAATTACTGATTAGTACTCCTGTCAAGTATTACAAGGATCTTTTTTTTCAAAACAAAAACAAAAACAAAACACCTTTATTCTTTCTATAGGAAGAAATGTTGTGCACTTTTCCATCAGTGTCTTCAAGGTGGCTTACTTTTTCTTTTTGCAATATGTAAAAAAAACCACCAGTATTCAAAACCAATTAAAATGACATCCCAAGCTAGCAAATTCAAGTAATAAATATAAAGTTGAAAAAGAAAGACGGAATGATTGGTTATCAAAAGCGGGAAAGAATGAAGCAGTTTCAACAAATCATTTAGAGATGTCATAGAACTAGTCCGCAAGATTGATTCTGACATCTTACATTTATTTTAAGTTACTGCTGAATATCCTGGTGAGAATATCCATATGCAGAGAGAAGCAATACTTAAGAGAGTAATTTGCTTCTGGGGACATAAATGACTGAACTAGGCCCTCCCCTCATATGACAAAAATGTATTTGACAAATCTCCGAAAAGTAGAATCTGAATGGAGTGTTCAACATGTAGATTTTTTCCCCAAAACAAAAGATTCCAATTGAAGCTTTTATCATGTTGTGCATGAATATGGTGCTTAATGTATGTCTCCACATTAACATCAGAAAACAATTATCCCTTTGCACTTTTAGTGACTTTGGTGTGACTATTTTGGCTCCCAATTCACCATCTTAGCATACAGCATTCTGTATCTCAGAGGCATCTGGAAGGCAAGTGATCAGTAAGTTAAGATGGCAGGCACTCCTGTGGGATCCAAGTTACACCCCCAGAATAGAAGTGGGACCTTCTGACAGTCTTCCCAGTAAATTGGACAGGAAACACTACCTGAGGAATTAATTCTACTTTATTGTAAGGCTACATTAACAGAATCCGAAGTACAAACTACCCACTGCTACTTTTAACTGTTTGATCCATTAGACTGGATTCTTCCTAATTTTTTCTGACCATTAAGCTACTGGGGGCTCCTCTCTTTCTTGTCTGATTATTTCCTAGGCAAGACTTCTTCCCCCTTGTTCCTCAAGGTCATCCACACTTTCCACCATGCCATCTCTTCTGCAATCAAGCTCACATCTTGGCTTTCTGACATGCCCCAAGAATGCTCTTCCTGCTTTTTCTTTCTTCTGAAAAGCAAAACCAAAGCTAACTCTAAAGGGTAAACCATTTAAAACATTTATGAGTGAAGAGATGCAGACATTTGCATCTCTTTTTATTTGCACATGCTTTTTTTTATTTGAGTATAAATAAATGTGACCTCCACTAACATCTACTGCAATCAGGCCACTGCAAATGCTCATGTCCGTTGAGCCTTGATGAGACAACTTACACAATTTCAGCTGCTTAAAGATATTTCAGCACACCAACTTGGACTCAAAAGCTTTAGAGGCACAACCATTTAGAAAAGAAAAATGTCTCGCGCTAGACATGAACTTTTTAGGAAGCAGAGATACATCTTGGACAGAATTTAAGAATTTTGCCAAGCTCTAGTCCTAACCAAATGATACACCTTCTACTAAAGATTTTCTAGGAATTTCTCTTTGTAGCACAAAACTGTGCTATAATTCTACTGAAAAAAACTTTTTCAGCCGACAGAAAATAACACTGCCGTACATTTAGGAGCTCAAAAACTGTAGGAAGCACAAAGTAATTCATCTGGAGAATGAATGCAAAACAGCCAGATAATAATGAGCAGTTCTTTTAAGTAATATGTAGCTGCTGGCATACCGAGGTGCATAGGGAACAGCTGGTGGTGGAGGTATGTAAAGATCCAGAATAGCTGGTTTCTCTTTCTTTAGTGATGTCTCCTTGGTGTTTTCCGATGACTGAGCTGTAGCTGGGTGTAGGCTGGTCTACAGGGAGAAGATACAACAGTGCTCAAGTAATTTTAAAACTACAAAATGCAGTCAGGCCAGTTCCTCTACCATATGCTTACATTATTCTTCATTTCCTATTTTTATCTGGTTCACTGGAAACTGGAAACAGTGATTTCTTCAATTACTTTATTTTAGGATAATTATTCTTGGAATTTTATCATATGCTAACTGTCTATCTAGGTGTGTTGACAATAAGAACATGTACAGTACAATATTTAAAAAATAAATACCCCCCCCCCCGCACACACAGGTGCCTTTCCTTTTTTGTGTTCTATCATATTGGACTTAAATTTGGCCAAAGTCTTTAAGCCAGGTGTGTCAAACCTGTGGCATCATGTATCGTGACTTTTTTCCTTCGCTAAAACAGGGGTGGGTGTGACCAGTGCATGATGCATCCGGGCCTTGAGTTTGACACCCCTGCCTTTAAGCCAAACAGAAATACAGAAGCAGTTTTAGGAACTGCTGTTTTATACAGATCTGCTTTAAAGCATTAGGCACAAATTAAGAATTAAGCAACGGGCAGAAGTTCAGGTTCTACCCTGCTAGAGACAGATGCTATCTGTGGATGGTTTAAGATTGTTTATCAACATGGAAGCCATTTCCCCATGTGATCTCTCCCCAAACCTCCTCAAGCATTCAAGTAATTAATCTCATAGGGTGATTCAGTTAGATTCTAAATATTTCTTCTACATATGGTTCAGATCTTAAATAACTTGCAGAAGAATATAGATTTTGTTCCATTTATAGCATTGTTATTGTAAAATAAAATAAAATACTGTATTTTAATTTTTAAGACATACTTTTTTCCTTCATGGATTCTTTCTTAGAGTTATTGAATTCCCCCTTCCCGTCATTATCTGCTTAGACCCCCAAGAAATTCTCTTTGAAAAGATTTTAATCCACATATCTTCCACACCCTTTTTCCCTCCCAGGTTTCACAATGCCTCCAATTTTGCTAATATCAGCAATTGGCACTTCAAGGGGAAACAGCATAATTCAGATAGGCTATAAAGATTAATCTTTGACAAATGCAATATTTGGTCACAGTTTTTCTACTCTGCAACTAACCATGGTTATTTCCTGAATTCAACTTTTCCAAAGGAGTATAAACAATTCAGCTCAAATAGCCTTTTAGTTATCCACACCAGTTAAGAATGTCCTGGGAATCGAGGAAAAAAATTATTCTTCCCTATTCTTTAATTTCTTTTGCATAAATAAAAGATTATTATAAAAGGATATTTCACAAATTCAATTTAAAACAAAAATTGGCCGAAAAACTATTTTGAGAAAATCAGTTGTTATGACCTACCAATTATTAATTTAGTTTTTGATATTATTTATTATTTATTGATATGATTATTTTATTTATTTACATACTTGCTACTAATGATACTAATATATCTCAGTACCTTTCAGAGCTTTTCGCTGGCTCTCTATTGGAGACAAAACCTAGTTTGAACGATGAAAGTTTTTTCTTTGGAGCCCTCTGATCATAAACTCCTTGGATTTGACTGCCCTTATTTCTTCCCACAATGCAGTATGTTCTTTATATTCCCCTTCTTTCAGTTCCTCTTTCTAAGGTCAAGATTTTCAAGTTTTAGCTTTTTAATGACCTGGCCCTGCAAGTTTGTAAATCAGTATCTTCTCTTTCTCTGTTCCTGTAGAAATGTGATGTTTAAAGGTATTTAAACCACCCCCTTTAAAAAAAAAAAGGGTTAGTCAGGTTAAGTTTTGGCTCTTCTATCCTATCCTTACTTCGTTGACAGTTCTAGGTTAACATCTGCTTTTAGTATTGATGTATATCAGATTGGCCTAACTCTGTTTACCTGAGGTCATGGCTATGTTCCCAGGTTGGATCAGAATATATCTGTTGGTCCCCATGAATTAATTTTATTTAAATATGTACCTTAAATGAGTATTGATGGTTGGGTTTTATCTCAGCTGCTGATTATATATTTATTTTGCTTTTTTTTGGTTGATTTTCTTGCTGTTTTTTTTTTAGAATTGTTATTAGCCACCCAGATTTGTTTAAGATGGGCAATTACATTAACTAAATAAATACTTCATCTTATCTCAAGGAACTGCTTCAGTGTACTGATTTTGCCTTAGTTATCTTAGAATTAGCATCTATTTACTAGGTTCTGAGCTAATTTGAGTGGGTTGATTTGTATTTACTATATTGTATTTTTTATACTGATTTTTTTTAAACATGTGTAATAAATCATCTTCTTAGTTTAATTGAAAAATTCTTTATGAACTAATGATGCTCTAAAACAGGGGTCTCCAAACTTGGCGACTTTAAGACTTGTGAACTTCAACTCCCAGAATTCCCCAGGCTGGCTGGGAAATTCTGGGAGTTGAAGTCCACAAGTCTTAAAGTCGCCAAGTTTGAGGACCCTTGCTCTAAAATGTTTCAATCTCAGAGACTGCTTCATTTCCACATCCCATTATAATCTATAACAAACAAATAAGTATACATTTTTAAGTGTGCTTTTATTAGAATTGACTCATTTTTTCCTTTTATTTTCTGAGATCAACGTTGAAGCATTTTAAGTGGTTTCAAAGGAAATAGGGGAAGAGAGATATAAGCAATTCAAAACTGTGTTATGCTGGACAGTCCTTCCTGCAGGAATGTATGTAGATGAAAGACCACTGGGTCAAATGCCAGTGATTAAAAAATCAAAAAACCCAATCCTCAAAACTGTATATGGAAAACTGGAATATAAGAATCACTGCTAATCTAAAATTTTAGTTTCTGACATCTAATTGTTCATGTTCTGAGAAGCTATTTTTTTTGTTTTTAAAGTAAAGAACACCAGATATCAAACAACTTCAACCAGTAGGAATATGAAAAAGAACAATTCAATAAGGACTCTATCAAGTGCTTATTTTGCATGTTTAAACAGATCGCTTTTTTGTAAGTTTGGAATAAGGTAACGTGAAAAAAAAGAGTATATTTTTTTTCAGTATGAAACTATTTATGACATTTCTATCCCACCCTAGCTTTGAAAAACACAAGGTATTTTGCATAATAGCAAAATATAATTAAAAAGTTCTGTCACACATGACCAACTATGGAGCAAAATATGTGTGTGTGTGTATATATATATATTCTGAGGTTTTTGCGGGTATTTGTATGTAGATCTTTGGTTATTCGGGTTTTCTCCCACTTAAAATTGGAAGTATCTAGGCGACGTTTCGATAAAGTCTCATTTATCATCTTCAGGCTGGTGTCTTCGGCTTTGTGCTTCTCGAGGTAATGTGAGCTTGCAGTTGCTTCTTCCTTTTAACTGCTAGTGGGGGTGTGACTTAACTGGGTGGGGGCTTGGCTGTGTTCTGATTGGGTGGGGGTGTGTTCTCATTGGTTGGGGGTTGGCTGTGTTCTCATTGGTTGGGGGTTGGCTGTGTTCTGATTGGCTGGGGGTCTGTTCTGTTCAGGTGGGGGCTTGGTTGTGCTCAGGTTAGTCTTAGTTGCCACAGGATTTGAGCTGATGAGCTGTGATCCTGTTGTTTGGCTTCGCGTTTGTGCCACATCATGAAGATGTGGCACGACCACAAACGTGAAGCCTATAATGACGTGGAAAAATACCTGAACAAAGCTGAATACCATTCTTGTAAGTACCCACGAAAACTTAAGAAAACAAATATATAAATATAAATGGGAAACAAAAGGGGAAACAAAAACTTGGTATAACTTCATATTACCTGTACAAGTGGTGGTTTCCACCTCAGATTTTTAAGTGGTGCAGGGGTAAAATTAAAAGAGCCTGTATGGCGTTTCTTTACTAGGAGAGTAACACCAGAAGGATTCTCACGGAGCTTCCTTACAAGATTCTTCAACTGCCATCCCACCTTTTAAATACACAACATATAAATCATTTCATTAAATCCAATTTAAGAAATGAATTTAAAATAAGAGCATCTTCAACACATCAGAAGAAAGTCAAAATGTTTCCCATTACTATGGGGTTTTTTGGCATGCTTTCAACAGTGTAAGTGCAAAGTCTCAATGGATACAGTCTTCTTTTTTGAGATGAAACAGTTATGGACAAATAGGATATCGCTAGTCTTAGCTATACTGTCTCTGTGAACCCCGTGGGTGTCAAATGTTGAATGGCTTTAAAGGAAGATCCGTTGTGGAACAAATAATATATCTATGGGGTCTATATCAACCCAAGTAGGTAGATATGATTAATTCCTGTGGAAGATGAAGTGTTCCACCAATAAACACTCTCCAATTTTCCTGAGGATATTAAATCTTTTTCTCTTAAAAGACCACCTCCAATAGTTCTATAAGCATTTGGGCTATTTGGACATTTTCAGAAGCAAACAACGAGCCCATACAAGAAAAAAGTAGATTTTAATTTTACTAGCCATATCATCTTCATTTTTCTTTTTCTGGTAGAGGCTATGATTACTGTTAGGCTAGGGAAGCAAATAATAAACAGGGAACAATTCCTTTTATCCTAGGGCAAAGGGGGATGGGGATGATGATGGCAATTAAACCTGAATACAATTTCAAAATGGAAATTGTTGACCAAATTCCTTTTCTTCCAAAGCCCTCTGTGTACCCTTGGTTATAATGGAAAGGCACAAAATCTCTTTTGCTTTACTGGCCAAGAATATTATGTTTAGTGTTTGTGCTGCTTGACTATATTGCTCAAAATGTTGTAGTCTGGCAGACAACATCTCTAGCTTGCAACTGGCAGAGCCACAAAAATCACATACAGCAGAGAGAAACTGTAAAGGGATGAATAGGAATCTTTTCTTTGAAGTGGAAATATTTCTCTTATTAAAATGCTAATTCTCCTAAATAGAAATATATTTATAAAAATTTATCATTTACTATTCATCATAATTGGAATGATTTGTAATTGTAAAGATGCCGGAGGCTGCATTTATGAACATTTACACATTGCTTACATGATGATCTTAGACAATGCACTTTGATAAAGTCATATGAAATGTTCCCAGCAGCCAACATTCAAGATGAATAGTATTCCTCTAAGTATCTCTATTTTTTTAAAATAAGAACCAACTATTCAAACCTGTCTTTTTCTTAAAACCAAAGTGGGTTTTGACATTTCATTCTTTAACAGATGGTTTTGCTACTAAATGCATTAAGATAAAACAGTGTTTCAGTATAAAATAAAAATAAAGGAATACAATAGTAAATGAGGCTAAATTTTGGTTCTAAGTGGTATCTTTTGAACCAATTTTGCTGTGGTCGTCTACTTACCACTGTCTGGCGATTCACCTGAATCACTTCGTCCCCAGCATGGATTTTCTGAGACCGATCAGCAGGAGACTACATAGTATAAAAACAAAGCGAACAAATACTTCTAATTTAAAAACGTTCAGATGGTACATCCTTGGCAGCAAAACTATATAAATGGAAATGTCTGTAGTGTTTCTGTGTGAGCTATAGCTGTCTCCTCTAAAGGCAAGCTCCCTACAACTAACTAGTCATTAAATAACTAGCCAATTGTTCAAAACCAAAAAGGACTTTTCTTACACTGAGCCAAAGGTTAGCAATTCAACAGGGAAAAAGAGGAGGTCATTTCAGTCTGCAGAATTCTTTTTCTACTTCTCTAATAAGACACCTGAAACTTAATTAGGCATCTCTAACAGAGGGAATGAATCCACTTGTCTCAATTCCCAACAATATGCGACCTGAAAGAGAGAAGTGTTAAAAACTTTGATAGTCCAGATATCCTAAGAAAAGAGGTGAATTATTTGATTCTCTATTAGCAGGCAGCTTTGGAGTCAATCAACATCTCACGCTGATGGAAAATACTTTTTACTGAAGAAACAGGAGGGAAATCTTTCCCAAACTCCTTTATGTGCCTTTAAAGTCTGCTGCAGAGAGGCTCCCATCAGGGTATGGGATGAAGAGGAAAAAGTTCTACTGTGCTGGCAAAGTTAGTAAGAGAATTAGGAGAATTTTTGCTCAGTTCTACACTACAAGGAAAGCAGTGCTGTGGTCTTTGTTTAAAATGGCTCTGTGGCTGCAAATCTGGCCCAGTGATTATCTTGACAGTTCACATCATAGAAAGTGCAAAACGGTCCTGAGTTGACCCATGTGACTCAAAATCAGCTGAAACAAATGGCTCATTTCCCTTGTTCCCTTATCAGGTGCAATGCAGGGCAAGACAATCCCCTTAGGGCCACCTGAGGTGGAAAAATCTGACTAGGAAAGAGATCTCCCACTGTCATCTGACTGATCTAAGGCATTCCTATCTTACACATCAGCATTAAGAGGCAAAACTATACATGCTGCATTTTCACAAATGGAAGCTCTGGCGAAAGAGAGGAGATACATTGGGAAACATACAGACTCCAAGATAACTTCCTTTTCTTAGTAACCACATTCCTTTGAGGGACTTAGCTAATCTCTCTCTGAACAGACAATTGTAGACGTTGCGTTTCCAAATCCCATTCTTTCTGAATTGAGAATTTGTTAATAAACAAAAGGGGGGGGAGCACACCCAGCTTTTATCACCAGGATTTGGAAAGTGACTGAAAAGTTTTGTTTAGGTCAAAACATTCCCACCAAAAGCAGGAAATCCAAAGTCATTAAAAAACAACTTGGAAATCCCATCACCTGACAGGAATTGGACACATCTCTCCAAGGCATTAAGAGCTGCTATGTCAGAGATGCAGCTGGATAGATACCAAATGACAGGAAGCCACCAGAGGCAAGGCGCTGTCATTATACTACTACAAAGAAGGGAAAGGACGCTTATCTTAGCAACATGATTTCTCAGCAGAGATCTGGAAACCCAAGAAAAGAAAGTTACATGCTTGGGAACGCCGACTGAGGTTCCTAGCACTGAGTTCTTTCAAACAGAAAACATAACAACAGTACATCTAAAAAACCAGTTTGGCATGGTTAGGAGAAAGATTTGAACATATGCATTGCTTCGGCATTTTAAATGTTTGGGATAGGAGGCAAAATGACCAATGGCCACACTGACTGGGGAGAATGGGGATTGTAATCCAATTCTATATATGCAGGTCAATGGGACAGGATAGGGTATAGAAGAGAATCACAATCTTTTTGTTCAGGCAAAACTGAAACTGGAGATCATAATTAGTTTCCCCACCCATTACATATATCTCCATGACTTTTCCTTTTTAATTCCAGAGGCGCTTTGCATTTAAAGAATTCTCTTTCTCTTATTTTAATAAGTTCCTTTGATTCCCAGGAAGCATTGCACTCTTCTATGCTGAGTCTAAATATCCTGCTGGTGTTTTCAGAAGGAAGAGAGTGCACTACTGCAATGGACTGAAGATCCGATAATGGATCTTCAGGATTCTGTTGTCCACAAGTACTCCATATGATGGTGGTCTCCAGCAGCTTTAGAGCTTTAGATGAGGGATCCCAATCTTTGCCCAAACTGTGGTTTTGAGCCTTTATAGGGTTCAAATACTTCCTATCTTAACCAATTTTGGAAATTGCTTGTTAACTGCTTTTCAGATTTTATCAACCTTCAAATGGCAAGATTTACTATACCAAATGAGTTTCCTTTACATACAAATTTAAGGACTTCATTTGGAAGACAATATGGAAAAGGAACACATTTTAAAGGATAGGATTGAGGCTGATTTGAAAGTGGATTTTAAAATGACTATGGGCTGTGGAAATGATGTAAGGAGACACTACACTGGATATACAAATGAAACTGACTGATGGCTTAACAGACTAAAAGAATGACCTGGATAACTTTCTTATACTAGATTTACAAAAGAAACCTATTAATTTTTTTAAAAATTTTTTGTTAAGATGGGACAAGGAAAAAATGAAAAGAAATCAAGTTCAAGGACATTTCTGAGGGGGGATTAAGGATCAAGATTATTAAAAATAAAGAGAAGAAAAGGATAAATATTAAATAAAGTAAAAGGAAGAAATATAAAGTGTGTTTATTTGACCAAGATTAAAATGGATATGCTGTTATCTCTGGTGAACTTTAATGGACTTCTGCTGATCAGGACTGAATGTCAAGGTTTTAAAGATTTATGTATAAAGAGATGGAATATGGGAAAAAGAGAAGGTGATAATTTACTAAATATATAAATTGTTAAATAAGTTACTAAAATTGTATGTGTATACACACATACATATATCTATATAAGGAAAAAGTTATTTCTTTATAGATTCCAATTTTTTATTTCTTTTCTATTCTTTTTCTTTTCTGCACTTTTTCCAGTTTCTATTAGTTCTTATCTTTTTAATTACAATGTTTAATAAAACTACTATTTTAAAAAAGGGTTTGCCTTGGGTTCAACTTTATCACAAACAGTTTATGTTAATTTCCCTTTGATGAAGTCATTAAAAATACTTACATTTTCTGTTGTCCCAGTAACAACATGTAAACCATCATAAGTGGATTTTATGTACATTCCCTAAATTGAGAAATGGAAAGATAAAATAAGCATAAGAATAATTACAGCACATCCACAGTTATACCTCAAATGTTTTTCAGACAATTATTTCTGAGGAACAGCGTGGCTGATAATACCATCTGGAGCCTGCCCCAAACCAGTCCTGTTGAATTGTGTAAATAGAGTATAGTCTCCTTTTGGAGTGGGGTGGGGGTGGGGAAGGGGGGGAGAACCACCTCCTACCTATGGAGGTGAGAATCCAAACAAAAACCACTTAACACCAAGATACTCTAAATCAATCAAGAAGGAAAAGTAATCTCAATTTATTTCTTAGGAGAACATTCTTGAATGGCTGAAGGGAACAATTGTTTATTTTCATCTTTAACATGGGGAATAAAAAGAAATCTCTATGTTTAGTCAAGGTTGCTTCATGTTTTATTTATCTATTTTTCACATTTTTGAATCACCCATCTCCCTCAGTGTCCCTCATGTTATTTTGTTACCATTTAGGATGGTATTGTTTTATTGAATCTGTGCTGGCAGTATTTACTCCTACTTTTGTTATTATTGATTGGAATTGGGCGGCCTTAGGTAATCTAATGAATAAATAAGCATAAAATTATCTGTTTATAAAAGTTGTTAAATTTTGATTTATTATAACATACTGTATGCATTGCTTGTTATGCTCAAATTCACTTTGAATCATATATCAAAGCAGTATATAAATGTAAGTGAGGAATAAATAAAATAAATATACCATATTTTGTATCTCAGTATTTAGATAAGGGACACAAAATGAGTGTGAGTCTCGTGGGAATGGCTGAAAATCTTTAGTCTGAATATAGCCTAGAACAGTGGTCACCAACCGAGGGGCCATGGCCCACTGGTGGTCTGTGAGAAAATTTTGGTGGGCCGCAGAGAAATGTCACCCTCAGAGCATCCCCCAAAGCAATTAATCCAAGCTGCGCAGGAACACAAGGCTGAGCCGCCTACATGGCCCACGGGAACCCTCCCTGCCCACTCACTCCTTACCCAGAAAACTTGCCAGCTAAGTTGCTATTTTTCCTTTTGTTTCTGACCATCAGCTGTTCTGCTGTGCCAGGAGATTTAAATTAGCTAGGAAGCAGGAAATGGTTGGATTTCTTGCTTTCTAGCTAGTCTTTAGATCTTTGGCTCTGCTTTTAAGCACAGCCAAACCTCCCTTTGGACTGAAGGTTCTATTATTTAATGCAGACTCATGGCAAGCAAATTTTATGTGACAGACTCAGGTAACTGATGGCAGATAGATAGATCTCTGAATGAATCTGTGAGCAACTCAATCTGCCTGCCTGCTTTGCCTGATTTTGGGTAAAAGTTGCTTCTTTTTTTATAAAAAATTCAATATTTATATAAATATTTATATTTACATACACGCCATGCCCAGCCAGTCACATGACCACCAAGGCACACCACAAATTAGGCCATGCCCACAGAACCAGTTAGTGGTCCCTGGGATTTAAAATTATGAGTTTGGTGGTCCCCGAGGTCCAAAAGGTTGGCGACCCTTGGCCTAGAAAACTCTTCAAAACATATATACATGCTGGTTATCAAATTTAGCTTTTTAAAATGTTTTACGAAGCTAGAGCATAGACTACCCTGAGGTTCGTAATATAATTTTAATATAATTAGTCTTTAATATTAATAACACAATCCTCTCTTGATATTTACATTTTTAGTAATGACAAATCTTAATGGGACCCCATGACGTTTCAGGCCCAATACAAAGAAACCTGTTTTAAGTGTTTCTCTGTTCTCTTGTATATAATAGGATACATCATGTGGGAATTCCCTACTGTAAAAAGTTAAAAGTTATAGGATACATCATGTGGAAATTCCATACTGTTAAAGTCCTGGACATGAACAATTACAGCTTTTATATTTCAGACTGCAATGTAAACTGATTATTCAAATTAATAAAGAGGGTGCTTGCTGTCTCTCCCTCATCTCAATACTGTCATAGATAGGAATGACTCTGTCTCTCTTTCTCTATGTGTATTTGTGTGAGTGTGAGAGAGAGAAAGGTAAACAATGAAAGAGAAACGTCAAGGTAGTGGCCCACTTCTTTTCATATGTGCATACATGTTGTGGACAAGATGCATATAAAAAATGGGCAGGATTTCAATTGTGCGTTTGTAGCCTCCATCTTGACTTTCTTTTTACCCTACCCGCTTTGGGGAAATAAAGTCGACTTTGTTACTTCAAATAAATTTTAAAGTGTAATAACTGGGAGCAGTTTAGAAGAGTAAGGAAATGCAAATCTTCTTACCAAGCCTTCCCCAGGTTTGATATTGTTTAGGTGGACTTCTTCGAGACAGGCACCCTGGCTCATCAACGGATCAGTTGTTGACCTGATTGTCTTATCACAGATTCCATTCAAAACTTTAGACTAGAAAAGAATAAGAACATGCTTTACACATTATTTCAGGAGGTGGGGTGCTGTCTCATGTACTGCCCCTCCAATGAACAAAATAACACCTAAATTAAGAATGTGTTAACATCATTACTTCAAGGAGGTGGGATGCTGGTGTCATGCATAGCCCCTCCAACAAAGAAATTAACAACCTAAATTAAGAATCACTTTGGTGCTAGCTCCAGATTCATAGGATACAGCATCTGCTCAAAGTTAACTTTCATTAGCTCCATTGGTAACAAAGCTGTGGTACTTTATTTCAAATTAAAAATTCTGTAGCCATGATTCCAGCCCTTTTTAATTTTGGACATAAATGATCCAAAATGGCTATAACTGTTAATCATTCACAAGTGTGCAAGACAGTAAATAACATTAAAGTAATTTTATTAAATAATATTAAAGTAATATTATTAAATAATATTAAAAAATCTTACAATCCCAGAACAATTCTTTGGGACAAATGATAACATACAGGTTGAGTCCAATTAACCTGAAAATCCTGAATTAATCAGGAGATTCTCCTCTCCTGTATCTAAGTCAGCTTTCCTTTCCCTATGCCCATTGTACAGTACTGGAAATATCCAATCAGCAGGGATAATAGCTAGGAATTACTGGATTTGCAATCTCATCACATTTGGAGAAAAATCAAGTTAGATGAGAACATTTTCCAAAAGTTTGGTCACAAACATTAACCAAAAACCTGAATTTATCATCTAAAGAAAAAAAAAAGTTAGTCTAATTATCTTAGTAGTTATTAAATTGTACAATTTGTTTCCTAAAATATGTCAAGAAAAATTCATTATTAAGCATGTAATATTTAAATAAAATTTAAACTGTTTGAGTTGGCAATGTTAATATTTAGGTTTTAACATTTATAGTATTTACTTATTTCAAAAATAATGAGATGATAAGTTGCCTTGGATTTCCAAATATGGATGCATATTTCAAATGAAAAGAACATTTTATTGCCTTGTTTGGAATCACAAACATTTGGCTCGGAGATGTAAATTTAACAATACATACGGAGGGGGGTGCAGTCAAAATTAGAGCAAACTGAAGCTGATTTAGAAAGGCATTGAAGAACAAAGTCTTCCCATTGTGGAATTTTGCTATTGTGATCGCTGCTTCTCAGTTGCTATTTACTTTGCTTCAGCAGGATATTTACAGTATGAAATGGGGAGGAAAAATCAAACTTCTCTCTTCCATCAAATGCATAGTGTACAATTTTTAAAAAAAATACAACCACAGATCATAATCACAGGGAAAATCTCTTCCCTTCCCTACTCTGTACATATATTGAATGGCTAAGATATTAATATACGATTCTTTCCGCTAGACACATGCCTTTCCTTCTGAACTAAAAAGCTCTCTCAAATTAATGTGAGAAAATATTAACAGTCGTAGAATGCTCTATTAGGGATCTTTGATAAACAAATACCAAAAAAAGTGAAATATATAATAATACATATTTTGACAGTGGCCAGATTGGCTTTTGCACAATGTTGGAAACAGCCTCATGTTCCATCAGAGGAGATGATTATTCAAAAAATTTCAAGTTGTGCAGAAATGGACAAATTAACCCTGGCATTAAAAAATAAAGTCACTTCAATATACTACAACAGCTGGAACCGCTGGTACAAATTGATAGACCAAAGATAGATTTCACACTAAAAGGCAAAAGAGGATAGGATAGAATCGTAGTAGTGATATACAGATATATGTAAGGATTAAGTGTGTATATGGCATAAAATAAAGATAAAAAGGAGGTCTCACAAACTGTTGAAGATGAAAATGTATTTTAATTGTTTGCTATCTTTTTCTTTCTATTTTCTTCTTCTTTTCTTTTTCTCTCTTATATTTATGTATGTGTTGTTGGTCTGTTTTAATTGTAAAATCAATAAAATTTATTTACAAAAAAAAAGAATGCTCAATTGAAAGATCTAAGCAGAGTTTTCCTCCTGTCAGTAAGGAAAAGCAGCCATGGTGGTGACATAGTGGCTAGAATGCAGTTTTGCAGGCTAACTCTGCTGACTGCCAGCAATTCGATTCTGACCAGCTCCAGGCTGACTCAGCCTCTTATTCTTTCAAAGTCAGTAAAATGAGGACCCAGACTGTTGGCAGCAATATGCTGACTCTGTAAACTGCTTAGAGAGGGCTGTAAAGCATTATGGAGTGATATATAAGTCTAAGTGTTACTGCTAGCCAAGAGCATTGAAAGGCAGCAGCGAACAGGGAAGTGAAAAGATATTTGACACAACTGTAGAAAGTACAGGAAGGAAAAACCAAGACAGTCTTCTCAAAAGAATGCATCTTTGCACAAACAACATCTACAATGTTATCATTGAATAATAAACACTCAGAATTATTTCCACGTCATCTCACACTTTAAAGGGATGCAAAGGTTATATATGTATGAGGCAAAACAGGATAAAATCAATAGAATGGGGCTGCAATTATTCAATGGGCCTGCAAACAAAACGTCACTGAAGAAAACTAGAGGGAAATCATCAGAGCACAGGTCCAGGTTTGGATGTTGGATCATGTCTCAAAATCTATGTGCACAGGTACACAATTATATTGTGGAATGTTTATGGTCAAATCATTTGAAAATTGAAAAAAATAAAATATTGCCAGACATAAAAGGAATATTGAAACAGTGAAGTAGGAAAATAAGCTTCAAAGATCCTTATGAAACATTATTTCAGAAAATCAAGGAATAATCAAAAGGAATGAGTTCTGAGATCCACTGAAGTCAATTTATAAATACAAACCTCCCAGAAGTTGAAGAAAAGATACTTCTTTTATTTACAGCACACCATAGCAAATGATTGCACTCAACCTACATGTGCATCTCCACTGTCAGTCAGAATAATCTATTAATCCCAATAATCAATTGAAATTCTCCAACACTTATCTAATACCTATCCAGCCTTGTATTTCCAGCTTCTCCTTGCTATCAGTTCCAGTTCTTATCCCTTATTCCCCAATATATACATATATGATTTCAAATCTGTATTGTTGCAAGTTCCACCTCCATAACTTATTAGAGGAACAGCATTTATCTGTGTCTTGCATCTAGTACAAACAATTACAGACTCAGTAATATTCACTCTGGGCACTTCATATTGCAAAAGCCAGGAACAGTGTATACAAATGTTGTTGGAATTTGACTAATAAGTTGACTCTTACGTACTATTTGGGAGAACTGCCCCAAAGCCAAAGCCCATAACATTCCTTGTGAGGAATGTTACTATAGATGCAGGAAGAGTGTCAGGAGCACCTCTAAAGCGCCAATCCAACACACACTATGACACTAATTAAATAATCATGGCTACTAGACCAGAAAGGGATATGGGGCAGTGAAAAGGAGCCAGTGAACTGTATAGAGATGCTCTGTAAGCTATAAGCTTCTCATGTCGTTGGAACACAGTTATTGAAAGCAATTATACTTACACTCTCACACCAAACAATGTTACTATAAAAAGTAAGAGTACTGAAAGAACCATAATGCATAAATAGAAGGGCGTATGGATTTTTTTTTTTTTTTACGGAGGGTAATCAACAATTGTTCTGTTTTGAATGGAGGTGTGAGTATTTTTAGATACTGTGAATTCCTCACCATCTCTCTGGCAGGCGGAAGGTCTTATCAAAGAACACAGCCTGATTCATGTCAAAAGGAGGAAGCAATGATTAACCATTACAAAATATTGAACGCAGGTCACTACATCCCTAGTCAAGTCACAAGACTGCCTCTAATGTATTTGGAAAATTCCCCTTTCACATCACTTCCAATTCAAAAGAGCATTTTCCTGCTGTTGTAATGTATTGTCGTGTGTTCCCCTCAAAGTTCCATCCTCAGAACAGTGAGCTCTGAGCTCTGTTGAAGGAAAACTGTTCCCTTCATACTTCCATTGGAGGCCTCAAAACAGACTGCCACAAAGACAACGATGGCTATTGAAAGAACAATAAGCATCCAAACACAAACCAGGCTGGAGGTCCCCAACTTACAACAGATCCATAGTTCTATTAAAAAGCCAGGTTTGACAGCTCTCCTGAAACTCAGCAGAGTTGAGTAGATTGAAGGAAGAGCAGAAACAATGCAAGTGGACAAGAATCTTTCATTTGCTTACTCTGTGGGTCACATTACAAGCAGCCTCCATTGTTTTCCATTTCCTGTCCTGAAATTTCTCTGCTCACACAGAAAAGGATAAACGCAAACTCCCCATCCGATGGGCCAATATCCTCTTCATATTCAACCTTGGTGTATTTAGTCATGAATCTTGCAATGACAGGATGGGAATCTTTATACATTTCTTTGAGAAACAAAAAATGCTATCAACTGAGCTGGAATCCAGAATAATGTACAGACTCGTATTTGCATTTCAGAGCAGATGAAAACCAAACTGAACCAGCAGCAGAAAGAATGTAGGGAAATGCTTGAATGTAGCCTCCACTTTATCCCATTTTTAGCTTTCAACTAGGCAAGCTACGTATCAAAATAGGGCTTTTGGATCCTCTAAAAATAGTTTGGACTTTTTCATTTTAGGCGATTAGATAAGCCTGGAAACTATGCAATAAGGAGCCATAGATGCCTGCTGTTCCTATTGAGCTTCGTAATAAGTAAAGCTGCTTTCAATCATAAAAAAGTTCTTAACAGAAAGGAATTCAAAAAATGAATTAAACATAAACATTTATACTTACTACATTGAGAACTTTATCTTCCATTTCAGCTACGAGGCAGTCCTTAAAAAAGAAAAGAACGTATTCTATTACTGGAAGATCCTTATATAGCATCAAACTGTAATTTTAACTTGATTGATTTGTACAGTCAGTAAAATATGTCTGGAGCATAGAGGACGATGCAGAAGTTTTTTTACAATGATCCAAAAATCTAAATCTCTCCAGAAGCTTAACTGTTGGTTTTAAAATATTTTTATAAGCCCTTTAATCAAAGCCTTTTCTCACATAAAATAAAACAGTTGGTTAAAGGAAGCATAAAGTTAAACTATTAGTTCCTCAATAGACTGGCAACTTAAAATCAACATTGATTTTAAGATGTGTGGACTTCAACTCTCAGAATTCCTCCAACAGCACGCTGGAAGTCTTTAAATTGACACGGGTGAGAAACATTGCTGTAAGTCAAAGAAAAAGGGAAGCATCAATAAAGGAGAATGCTTAAAGCTCAAGGCTGAAATGCGTGGTCCTTGGTTGTCTCTGAGTTTGGTTGTTTTCTTGCAGATGTTCCATAACCCAAACTAGGTCACATTCCAGAGTTTCAGAAGCAAGTATTCCCAATTCTAACCAGGGATGTTAAGGAATGATCAGGACAACGGAACAAGGCACTAAATCTAACAGGTGAGGTATGTGCCCTACAACTACAATAAAGCCTGTCCATATTCTGAACACACAATGTAAAAAAAAAATCAACCATGATTTGCATCTAAATAAAGGCCTTTTATATGTGCAAATAATCTTCTGCTTAAAAAGAATGTGTAGCAGCTTCAGTGATTCATTGCCAAATCCCACTCAACTGAGGTTTGATCAAAACAGTGTTGCTAGTTGAAGGACTCAGGGGAAGCAATGGGAAGCAAGGAAAGGGTAGGAAGGCCTACACGTAGACTTCCAGCTGAAGTTTTCTGCATCTCGTCCATCCAGAGTGCTTCTATTATCTTCATCTGCTCACAAAAGCTACCAAAATGTGATTCGCATAGAAAAGTATTTGGCTTTGCAAATATTACCTGCAAAAGACACTGGGCTGAAAGGACTACATGCAGCAGAGCGTGAAAATATACAAGGCATCATTTATTCAACAGGAGCAATGAAGAATTAGAAGATTACACTTTCTTTTCCTTTTAAGGAACTGTCTGAGCCAGAATGGCAAAGTAGACATACTAGCAAGCAAAAGATTTTAAAGTAGCACCCAATTAAGTGTTGCATCCCAGAGAAAGAGTCGTTGAACCATCACTGGACAAGGAAAGTAGATTTTTGGGAGGGGGGCTATTTTCCTCTCCCTACTGCACGTACAATATTCTGACAATAGGTATGGGGGTTAAGGGGATAAAAAATAGCCTTTACTTCTTGTTCCACTGGCAAAAATCTCACCTGGTCAACTGATGGCCCTCTGTCAGCAGTCACCCCAATTGGTTACAGCTTAAAATAATTTATCTTGATCCAAGCAAGAGGAGGAACTGACCATGCCATTATTGGGAAAAGAAAAGACCCTAAAATTCCCAGTTCTGGAAAGATGGCTTCAGCTGAAAATAGCTATAATCATACCTATATTTAGAGCATAGTCTTTTTAATCCTGGGTGTCTACTGTAGAACGTGACAATAAAGACAAGGATGGCTTGGGGAAAAAGACAAAGGTTACCAGCCACTGAATAAAATGAAGCTACTGCTGCCTATAAGCCCATGATGATGAACCTATGGCACATGTGCCAGAAGTGGCATGCAGAGCCATCTCTGCTGGCATGAGAGCCATCGCCACAGCGCAGCTCCACTGCGCATGCGCACGCCTCCCACCAGCCAACTGATTGTTGGGTATCTGCCGCACATGTGTGGGGCGTGTGCAGGAGAGATGTGCAGATGCCCAGGGGGGTGGAGCATGGGGTGGGAGCACATGCACGCACAGGGAGGCGTGCATTGCATTATGGATGAGGCATGCGTGCGCAGGCGCACTCTCAGCACGCAACGACAAAAAGGTTAGCCATCACTGCCATAAGCCCTACACATCCAGAGACAGGTTTTTAGATCCGGCTGTGAGTTAAAATATTTATTGGATCTTTTCGGCTGTTACATTTAGTCTGACTCTAATTTGTTTCTACATTTGAATGCATCTCATATTTCTTTCTGCCTTTCTTTTTGGATCAATATTCAGGTAGTCCTCGACTTACGACGACAACTGAGCCCCAAATTTCCACTGCCAAACAATGCAGTTGTTACATGTGCTTTGCCCCATTTTATGGCCTTTCTTGCCACAATTGTTAAGTGAAGTATTGCAGTTAGTAACACAGCTGTTGAATAAATCTGGCTTCCCCATTGACTTTGCTTGTCAGAAGATCGCAAAAGGGGATCATATGACCCTGGGACACTACAACGGTCATAAGTACAGGCCAGTTGCCAAGCAACCAAATTTTTATCACCTGACCCTGGGGATGCTGCAACAGTTGTAAGTGTGAAAACATCACAAATCACATTTTTCAGTGATTTTGTAACTTCAAATTGTCACTAAGTGAATGGTTGTAAGTCAAGGACCTTCTTTATTCCACTTCTTGCTGCCTTCCGTGTATTTATCTCTCTTCTGGTTTTATAGATCCCACAACTATAAGTTGCTGCTAGCAAAAATGAGCTACTATATATAAATTACGCAGGACTGTAACTGCTTTGCTTTATGGTATGCATCCTGCTATTCTATACCTTTTTTAAAAAAAATTAAGGGCTGTGAAAATATTTACAGACCCCTCACAATTCTGGACATAAACTATTTCAACTTCTACTCTGAAAACGATGCTATAGAGCACTGCACACCAGAACAACTAGACACAAGGACAGTTTTTCCTTGAATGTCATCACTCTGCGAAACAATTCCCTCAACACTGTCCAACTATTTACAAAGTCTGCACTACTATTATTATTAATCCCCCATCCTTCCTTCCACCCATCTCCTCCCACTTATGACTGTATGACTATAACCTTGTTGCTTGTATCCTAACAATTTTTAATGACTGTTTCCTAGTATGATTTGATTGCTTATTGTACCCTATGATTATTATTAAGTGTTGTACCTTATGATTCTTGACTCTTTTCTTTTATGTACACTGAGAGCATTTGGACCAAGACAAATTCCTTGTGTGTCCAATCACATTTGGCCAATAAAGAATTCTATCTATCTATCTATCTTAAGAGGTATTACCAGTAAAAACCTGGAGAAAATGATATGTTAAGGCCTTATGTTTTTATATATTCTAACAGTGGTGGGTTATTAGCAACAAACGGCTGCTACAAAGGTACTGTTAGAATTAAAAATCTAATAATGAATTTATAAATTCCTAAGTAACTAGTTGATTAAAAAAATCCTTGTTAAAATGATAGTGTTAGCTTTGGGAGACCAAAACAACAATACCAAGGAACAGTTTAAACCAAAGGTGCTTGATCTGATCATACAAAATTCAAAAATCACATGTATCACTAAGCTGCTCATAAAATTATATTACAATTATTTCTGTACATCTACTATTCTGCATTCCTTTGGGAAATTTAGAAAGAATAACAGCAGAAAAAGAGAACAGACACACACACTCTCTTAACTGACCTTCTGAACAGTGGTGGTAAGATCCAAACACAGCTGAATGATTTTATTCTTTGTCACAGAAAAATCAGCTATCCCAGTAAATGGAGTCCTGTGGTAAGACAAGAATGTGCCTTTAAAGGAAAGAAGAGTCCAAATAACAACAATCAATTACTAAAGGCTTACTTTGTATGACAATGCTACTATGTGTTGATTATCATATATTGATTTGTGCAGGATGATCATATCACTTTACAATAAGTTATAATCAAGAGTTTCAATTGGGGATTTGCTGAAGATTTCTACATCTGGGCAAAGGCAAGGGCTGTTTTACTTTAGTTTTCCAACTAAGATACTTTTTGTGCAGAAACTAAGCAGTGGATTTAGGAATAAGAGTTCAGAAGAAATGAAAATTCTGGCACAAGTTCTTTCCCCTGACTTCCATATTTCTGGAGTTGCTCACTGGAAAGGATACACTCCTCTTGACTTAGTTTCCAAAACCTACATTAAGGGTTAAAGATGACTTTCCTTTCCTGGCATTGCAAGCTCAAGAGACCAACTTTCATACAGGTAGTCCTCAACTTATGACCACAATTGAGCCCAAAATTTCAGCTGCTAAGCAACACAGAGGTTAAAAGACTTTTGCCCCATTTTACAATCTTTCTTGTTTATCTCTGCAGTTAATCACTGTGGCTGTTAAGTTAGTAACCCAGTTGTGAAGTGAATCTGGTTTCCCCACTGATTTTGCTTGTAAGAAGATCACAAGAGGTGATCACGTGACCCCAGGGCACTGCAACCGTCATAAATATGAACCAGTTATCAAGCATCCAAATTTCAATCACATGACTATGAGGATGCTGCAATGGTTGTAAGTGTGAAAAACGATCATAAGTGCCATTGTAATTTCAAATGGTCACTAAGCGAATAGTTGTACATCGACGACTACCTGTATTATGTGTGGTGAAAGAGAAGGGAGCTACTCCTAGTAATATGCTACAGAGATCAGTGAAACATTGATCAAAACTTATGAGGCATGACAAGGAATTTCCATAGATGAATAGGAAAAAACAAAAATAGAAGCAATTGTTCTAAGTACGTAATTACTCTCTAAAAGCTAAGCTTGTTAAAATGCACGAACTTTAGTTCAGATTAACAGTTATTTTTAAAAACTAACCTAACACATAATACTAAGAAAGTATCGATGTCACCCAGGGGAAAAGAAAGGTATTTTCTCACTCTGGTTAGAACAAGTTACAACCACAGTCTGTAACAGGGTGTTTTAAGAAGCAGAGACCTCTGACTGGGAACAGATCTCCCCATCATCCTTGACCTCAGGAGCTGAATAGGGGATAGCTTTCTTACAAACGTAAGACATTCACATGGATAGTATCTGTCTGAGGTTGGAAGCTAAGCAATACTGGACTTTGTCAACAGCTGGATAAGAGACTACAAAGAAATCCCAGGGTTAAAGTTTAAACTGGGAAGGAACAAAAATACAACCTCCACCCCCACCCCCCAAAAAAAATCCAGAAGAGAGTGATGAACTATTTCCATATTACTAGCTATATGGAAATGTCCATGAGGTCACCAACAGTTGAGTCTAAGTTGAAGAGGTCTACCCACAGCATACATCTTGAGTCAGTACTATCTACTCTGACTGATTATGCTTTCTCATCTGAGGTAAACTCCCACTGCAATCTTCCAATAAATTACAGCCTCTTCCCATTTAAATCTTACTTCAGGCCTATCTATACAGATAGTCCTCCAGTTATGAATATAATGGAGCCTTCCCATTCCACTCATAACCCAAGGATTACATTATAGCCAAGTGTCATTTCTCCAGTGTTGTCACATGAAAAGATATACTTAAATATTTACAAAATGTGAGGAGGTATACTCACTCCTGTGATATACTATAGATCAAGGGAAGAAAAAAAAAGCAGAAAAATGGGAGGGGGGGGGGAGGGAATCCAGCAGAAAATAGTAGCTATTTGTAGTACATGTCTGTTTACTCAATTATAAGCTCTTTTAATGGTCATTTCGTGGGTATCATAAAATGGCGTATAATATCAGCTCAACTGGATGGCTTAATGGTACAATGAGCCTTTGTTCAGCAAAAAGAGCCCTTGAGACTACTATAATTGGGAATCTACAAAGTAAGTCAACAATCTCTCCATCTTGCATGGTTCTTTAATGTTCTAACCAGTGCTTCCCTGCCAGTAATATATCTGGTGTATTTCATTCCTTTCTCTAAGACTGTGTTTCTCAACCTTGTCGATTATAAGATGTATGGACTTCCATTCCCAGAATTCCCCAGACAGCACACTGTAAGTTGAAGTCCAGACACCTTCAAATTGACATGGGTGAGAAATACTGTGTAAAGGGAAGCATCAATAAAGGAGAATATTTGCAGCCTAGGGTTGGAGTGAGAGGTCCTCAGTGGCCTCCGAGCTTGGTTGCTTTCTGGCAGACATTTCATTACCCAAGTTCAGTGGTGAGATTCTTTTTTTTTTTACTACCGGTTCTGTGGGTGTGGTTTGGTGGGCGTGGCAGGGGAAGGATACTGTAAAATCTCCAGTCAGAGGTGGTATTTGCCGGTTCTCCGGACTACTCAAAATTTCCACTACCGGTTCTCCAGAACTGGTCAGAACCTGCTGAATACCACCTCTTCCCAAATTAGGTAACATCATTGATGTGCAGCACTGATGATGTTATATCTGGGTAATGAAATGTCTGCAAGAAAACAACCAAGCTCAAAGAGAAGTATTTTCTAACCCCGGCCCCAAGGGTGGGATTATACTGGTTTGGCCCGGTTCCATTGCAGCATTAGGTCAGTAGCAAACCCTCTATGCGCGTGCAAAGTGTGCACTTGGCGCGCTCTCTCACCAAAACAGTTGTTACAGTGGTTGAATCACACCCCTGCCCAGCCCCAGAGATTATTTGCTCCCAAATTAGGTATTAAAAGCGGCTAAAAATGCTCCCACTGCTGTAGCATCACCAATTACCCCTCACTCCATTTTTCACTTAGGAACAAATGATTCTGACTGATCTGTGGGAGAAGGTAAACAAAGATGAATGCTTGGCTAGGCTAGGGACAAAAACATCACTTATCTCTTGGCAGCAAAACCAAAGGACACAAATTAATGAACGCCAACATCCACAGAATGCGTTTGGTTTGATAGTCAATTCTCATAGCAATTTATGAACAGCCCACAGAATCGCAAGGTCCTGCATTAAAATACAAAGTTACTTTTTAAAGATAATATTTGTATTTAATCTCACTCTAAAACAGAAATGGGTAGGAAAACAAAAGCCCTTTCAGAGAGCCAGTCACCTGATTCTCTCAGTATCTGCAGGAGAGGTTAAGGCAGAGACAAAATCAGCTTGGGAAGTAGCAATGGTATATGAGCTGCCTTTCATCCTGCAGAAACACCTATCTCTTTATAAATCCAGGGGAAACAATTGTACCAGGCTGCCTCCAACACTCTAAACTGGAGTGGGGAGTCTACTCTGATGTAGCAGCTCTCCTGTTAGAAATGGCTGCTCTGAAATACAGAGAAAGAAGAACGTGGACTCTTTGAGTTTGGGCATTTGCTTGTAAGAAACAGCCCCATGGCATCTGTCCCCTGAGTTTTAGTTCTTAAATTGAAGTCTTCTTAATTTTATCTCTTTTTATATTTATATTTTTACTATTTTGGAAGCCACCCAGAGCTACTTTATTGGTGAGATAGGTGGCCTGTAAATTTAATAAATAAATAAAATTACCCAACGATGTAAGTAACATCATCAATGCTGGTGAATGTGAGGTTTGCTCCATGTATATATATAGTGTGTATGTGTATGTGTATGTGTGTATGTGTGTATGTGTGTATGTATGTATGTATGTATGTATGTATGTATGTATGTGTGTATATAGATAGATAGATAGATAGATAGATAGATAAGATAGATAGATAGATAGATAGATAGATAGATAGATAGATAGATAGATAGTACCTTGCCCTGCCACTTCCTACTGGTGTGTGTGTGTGTGTGTGTGTGTGTGTGTGTGTGTGTGTGTGTACACAGAAAAAAGAACATACTGCAAAATGCAAAGATAAAGATATTTCCCTGCAGCCCCCTTTGTACTCAAACAACAATTTTATTTGAGTGACAAACTGAATGGGACCTCTGCAGAACACTGTTTAAACTGATGGCTTACAACTTGGAAGACCCAAGATCGACTTGTCATTCATCTATGAAGTTCATCAAAGGATCTGATGCAGGACGTTTTTCTCTCAGTATAAATGGCTTCAGAAGGCTCTTGAGAAGACAAAATGATATGTGGAAAGTTTGGATTTGAAGCAATCAAAGTGCTAAGGATTAACACTTGCTGAACCTTTTTTGCAGCTCCTTGAAGGAGTCATAATCTTTCCTGGGGTGGTAAGGTTTGGGCTTCAGAAAATGTTTGAATTAAAAATATTCCTGAACTGAATTATTTTCCTAAGTTTGCACAGCTGTTGGTTAAAGAAAAGAAGTAGTTCCTTGAAGGAATAGCCAACAGGTATAGTAAGAGAGCTGACGCCAGATCTGATTGGCTGCTTCACCTCCAAATGTTGCACACCAATGGTTGTACTGAATGTTAACTCTTTTGCCTTTGTTTGGTTATGTCTAGCCTAATCTTTGAATGTGGTTTGCAATCACAGACATGCAAGCGTACTTCTCTGCTTGCAAAAGGACATTTCAGCCTTCTGCATACGTAGGTACGTAAGTAGACAGACAGGTAGAAAGGAAGGAACAACAAATATGACCCAAGTCTGGGAACAAAGTCCAACTGAAGGACACCCTGAAGTCTCTCTCGGAATGTCTCTCCTCTATATTTCCTGTCTCACAAGTTGGAAGGATGCGAGAAGTTCTGTGCTACCTCCAAATCTCAGGTGTTAGCAGGATCTTCTCAGCTACTTGTCATCTTCCACTGCAGTTGTCACTACACTGTAATCAGCGGTGGGCTTCAAAAATTTTAGCAAAGGGTTCTCTGTCTAGTTGCTGGGTGGGTGTGGCCTTGGTAGGTGTGGCCTAGTCAGCCTCCTGCACCATGGCAGGGTGGGTGGGTTTGCCCTCCCCAGGCTCTGGAGGCCCTCTGGAAGCTGGAAAAAGGCTCATTTCCGGCCTTCCTGAACTTCCAGGAGGCCCATTTTTCATCCTCCCTGAGCCTCCACGCATGCACTTACCTGCATCCAAAATGGACCACGTGGGGACTCCTCGGAGGGGAGGGACCAGCCAGGAGTGGGATTTGGGGGTTCTCCAAATTGCACAGAATCTTAGCTAGGGGCTCTCCCAAATCCCTGCGAACCCCCAGCAGCCCACCCCTGACTGTAATCCATAATATTAGCTAGAAAGTAAAGACATTTATCTCAATATATTTCTCTTTAGGCCTCTGACTTGGCTCTTTTCATGCCTGGTGAGGAAACAGGCACTTCAGGCTGCCATCTTGCATCTTCTCACCTGGGAACAATCCCCACTGCACACAGTCTTCTGAATATTCCCATATGCCTGTTTAAGAATCAGTTGCAAAATGTAAAGCCAGCCTAGTTACCACAATAAAGAATTTGGTCACTTGTTGTGGGTGAACTATGTTAACTGGAAATGTCTCATATAAAAAGGGAATCCAAGGGAGATTTTTTTTTAAAAAAGTACTTTTGTTGGCTCACTCAAATATCTGCCTCAGCAAAAGGATGGGCCGGGGGGAGGGAGGGAAATCTTACTAGTAAGCCAGGAATAGATCACTCCTAGATACATGAATTACCTCCTTGTTTGCTGAGTTTAACAGCATACAGACTCCTACCTGTCCAGCCATGTCAGCAGAGCCTTAGCAGCACCAATGAGTTCTACCACGGAGGTAAGGAATTCATTAGGAGGTTTGCGTGAGCTATTTCCATCGTAGTTTGAACTCTTCCTCCGAGTGCCAATGTAGTTTTGCAGATTGTTGGATGCAGCGCGTAACTTAAGAATCAAGTGCTTCATGTTGTCTGTTTCAAGGCCATAATTCTACAGAAAAAAAGAATAATTTTTAAAATGAGTGTCCTGGTCTCTCAGCATGTTCGCTGAGTGCCCAAGGTGGAAGCAGAGGTAGATTATCAGGAGGCACCTATAACGCTCCATAAACCTGCATACAAGGTAGTCCTGAACTTGCAACAGTTCTTTTAGTGAACTGAAAAAGTGATTTATGACCATTTTTTCACACTTACAACCATAATCCCCATGGTCAGATGATCAAAATTCAGACTCTTGGCAACTGATTCACAAATATGACAGTTGCAGTGTCCCAGAGTCATGAGACCAGTTTTTCGTGACCTTCCAACAAGCAAAGGCAACGAGAAGCCAGATTCACTTTAACAACCGGGTTACTAATTTTATCAACTGCAGTGATTCACTTAACAACTGGTGGCAAGAAAGGCCATGTAATGGGGTAAAATTCACTTTAACTGTCACTCTTAGGAACATACATTTTGGGCTCAATTGTAGTCATAAGTTGAGGGCTACTTGTGTCATTTGAATGCAACTCCTTAAGTGGTACACATCTTTTCCACCGATGTTGCTACAGCTGTGGGGAAGGGGGGGCACAGATGCATGATTTACAGGAAAGATGCAGATGTGTTAACCATGCCTTGGGGGGGGGGATCGCAACCCTAAATCCTATTCCAGCACTCAATTTTGTTCTTTTTGTCACCTTCAATTTTGTTTTTTTGTCACCTTCAAGAAGTGAGGGGAGCCAAATGTCAACTCATAAAGCATTCCTATGCCTGTTTTAGAGTTGCCATAAATGGGGGGGGGGGGCAGATCTGAAGGAACAAAGCGGCAGTTTAAAACCAGAAGTACATTCCAACACCCCTTAGATACTGTGAAATATCATTTAACATTTGAAACCAAAGAACTGCTCAGCCTGCACAGCCGACATCTCATGAGCTGGTAATCAAACTTAAATCATGTATTTTGAGACCTTTTACAGGGATTGATTTGATATTTTAAAGCTGGTAATCTACTTCCTTGGAACTCCTCTGAATATAATAGGACTCACTTCTAAGTGGTTATGAATGGGATCATCCTGCCAAGTCAGCAGTTGAAAATTACCAATACTAGAAATACTAGTTTTAATAAGTTAATTAAAATCATACTTTTGATTTCCAGTATATGCTATTCCAAGCATTGACGTGTTAAGTCTTTTTACAAATGAATAATAACATATGCAATTCAATGATGCATTTCTACTACTGCATGCCCCCATGCATATTATGACATCTGAATATTTTCATGCTCACATAAAAAGATGCTCACAAAGAGAGTTACAAGCAACCAAAGCTATTTTAGGGCTAAAATTTTTCTGGAAGCAGGAATGCCAATTAACTGATAATATTTTGGATAGAATGTTCTCAGATTTATAGACCTAGATTAATCAAAAATTCCTTCCTGCTATCTCCCAAAAAAAATGAAGCACTATACCGTATTCTTGCTTTTCATTTTAAAAATAACATTTTAAAAACCCCAGTTCTATTTAGAACTTGCTCAGGCATTGAGTTTAAAGAGGAAACTAAAGAATTTATAATTGTCTCAGCATTATATTTAAACGTTCTTTTAAATCAGAGAACTTGATTTAAATAATTTCACAACATTCTTTCAATCAGTTCTTGCTCCTCTATCTGACCATAATTAAGTTGCATTTCATAAATGACATTTGATTGATCAATGCACACTGCTTCAGACACTCACATATGTTTAAATTCATCCCTGAAGGATGAATTTAATCCTCTTAGGAAGATTAAAATAAGTTATTAATTCAAAATCAGCATCACAACAACTCTCACCCAAAATATTTTGTCTCAAACTACAATATGGACCTCCATGAAGAATGAAAGTAAGTACAGGAATATGTTAAAGAAAGCAACACATTTTTTTCTACCAAACTATGCATACTTGAGAATGCATTCTCAAGTGCAAAGCATAAACACTATAAAAGCCATCTTAAACCTAGTTTTAAAATATCTGGGGCATATGGGTTGAAGCAGTAGGCTAATCTACAGGTACCCACTCTAACCATTAATAATTACAACAAGAAGCAGTTATGCACTAGGGGTTAACTATATAGGAATAACACTTGCCGCTTCATAGTGCTTTACAGTCTTCTCTAAGTGGTTTCCAGAGTCAGCATATTGCCTCCAACAATCAGGTCCACCTCGGAAGGATGGAAGGCAGAGTCAACCATGCGCTGGTCAAAATTGAACTTCTGGCAATCAACAGAATAAGCCTGCAATACTGCATTCCAACCACTGCACCACCATGATTATATATGGCCAAACAGAAGTTGCCTCTTTTCTCTTTGGCAGGATATCTTTACTGCCAAGTTTGATCTTAATGTAATCCTGGTTTGTTTGTTATGTGCACATGTACTGGCAAATGCATTTGCTAAAGTCTAAGTAATAAGTAAAAAACAAACACAGCTACACATGTAGAGAGATTTAGATCTGAGGTTCACATTTGTTTGTGTATATAATCTTCCATCATTTTCATTGCTCTTTATTACTAGTCATGATTTCTGAGACTAGGTTTTCTTTCTTTAGGGTACAATTAAAGAGCAATAAAAGGAACAGATTCCCTTGAGTCAAGTCAGTTCCTTGTTACCCTACAGATATGTCCATGTAGTTTGCTTGCTATCAATTTGGAAGTAGTGTGCTATTACCATCTTCTAGAATGTTGTTTACAACTTTCCAGGGCAGCCTGCAAATTTGGGTCTTGTGGGTGGTCTCACATCCAAATAATAAACAAATTAAACCGCTTAGCTTTCTCTGTATCAGCCAAGTGTGCCCAGTCTGTTATGGATTAAGCAATGAAAACACCCCAAACTGAATTGACCACAACCTCCAATCCTCTGCCTAACCAAATTCTTTGAAGGTGGTTCATCGGTCCTCCATTGGATCACTTTCTGGTTCACACGTCAATCATTATGTTGCTTGATTGACCTCCATGCCAATGATGATTAATTAAGATGGAGTAACTTAGGCAGAAAATGGTCTAAATTAAAATTATTGCCAGAAGATACTAATAACTTGAAGCCTTTTCCAATGATCAGATGTCCTGTCTTATTGTGCATCTAGTTTTTGGGAATTAAAAGATGAATAGGCACCATTGTCACTAATAGCATCTCCTAGATCACCTTTTTTCAGAGAGAATCCCCTAGCTATCTCAGGAGCGTCAGCAATTGAAACAGCTCACGTAGGGTCACATTTGCAGAAAACAAATAGTGAATGAATGGCTAAACCACGGAATCATGGCAATAACAGCCCTGTAGCAGATTTATTTCTTCATTTTTTATTAGGCCTGAAGTATAGCAATAGCAATGGCACTTAGACTTACATACTGGTTCATGGTGCTTTACACCATTCTCTGGGCAGTTTGCAATGTCAGCCTATTGCTCCCAACAATCTGGGTTGTCATTTCACTGACCTCAGAAAGATGAAACGCTGAGTCAACCTTGAGCCAGTCAAGATCGAAATCCAGGAAGAATCAGACTGCAGTACTACATTCTAATCGCTGCACCACCACTTGGCCATTCAGCCAGGGCTCAGTTATTTCACTCATGTTATTCAATATCTATATGAAATTTAAGGGGTGATACTTCTGGAGTGAACTATCATCAGTATGCCGTTATTCAACTATGGATAAACCTGGGATTATATGGAGATCTTGACTCTGGAAGGAGATAGTTTGGGTCAAATCAAAATCAGATTGAATCCCCTGCAAGGAGGACGTACTGCCTGTACCTATATCTGTATCAGTCGTGGGATTCAAATTTTTTTACTACTGGTTCTGTGGGCGTGGCATGGCAGGGGAAGGATACTATAAAATCTCCATTCCCACCCCACTCCTGGGGGAAGGTTACTACAAAATCCCCATTCTCTCCCCACTCCTGGGAGAAGGTTACTACAAAATCCCCATTCTCTCCCCACCCCCCTAACCTACTTTCCAGCTCCGTTCTCCTGTGCAGGACAATAAAAGAAGACCCAGCCGATCAGCTGGGACTCAGGGGGCAGAGAATAGATGGGGGCGGGGCCAGGCAGAGGTAGTATTTTCCAGTTGTCCGAACTACTCAAAATTTCTGCTAGCGGTTCTCCCAGAACTGGTCAGAACCTGCTGAATACCATACCATCTCTGATCTGTATCATATAACCTGTATCAAACAGGCTTCATCTTGATCCCTAAATCAGTTCTAGATGAGGCTGCCCTAACCTTGAAGGAAAAGATCCTTGCTTTTGGGGGCCCTCCTGTAGTTACTGCTTGACCAACGGTTTGGACTTTTTCTAGATGAAGACCCCCTAGGAATATTCATGTTCTCATCACCTCAAAGTTAGATTATGGCCCAGAAGCTACAACTGATTCAAACGCAATAGCAGATTCATCCATACTGAAATTATTGATTACAAACAGGCTTCTGAATCAATTCAAAGGACTTATTTTAATTTTTAAAGCATTACAGGGTTTGGCACCCATGTTCAGATGGACTCTTGGTATGAACAATGGAACTGGGTTAATTGTTTAGGATCTTGTTCTTTTATGGTTTTATTTTTTAGTTTAGCTTTGTATACACTACTATCTTGAGCTGTTTTGAAATAGGTCTATTTACTATATTAATACTAATAAATAAGTGGTGGTTGAGAAAAGAAACTACAGCATTCACACAGGAATGATGTGTGAACAAGCACTTAAAAAAGTGTCTCTTTGCTCAACGGAGAACTCTATGCTCATGCTGAACTTCATCATCCTTTTCATGGTGAAAAGTCTGCAGAGTGTCAGAATGGAGTTTATATGCATGTCCTCAATCCCCTCCATGCAAAATATGCAATTTCTAGAAATATTTTCCCCCTTATTTATGTGGGCAGTTGCATAGCACATCTCAGAAGCTCAATACACCTTTTCATTACACAGAGAAAAACACACACATCACTGGGAACACACGAAGGTCAAACATTCCTGTCTTGTTAATCATTAATCCTTGTAAGTATGGATCAAGTTGCCTTTGACAGGGTTTCTATAAAGCTTATTAGAATTTACCCAGGCCTAATGCAGAAGGCTGTAACGTTAGCATGCACCCGATGCATCTTACCAGACAGGACAGTGGAAAGTGAACATTGCCTTTTAGTAGTCAGTGTTTTAAAAGATAGCCAGGAAAAACAACCTGCACACAGTGTGGTGTTATTATTATTATAATTTAGTACTTACACAGCATTTCAAAGCTGCAGGCAGAACTCAGCAGTTTTATTATAGTCAGCCTTACAACAGTCATCCAGCCATCAGTGTAGTGCTATTATTTCCACTCTCTCCTCCCAAGGGAATGAAACTAATTTTCCCTTAAGGCCATCCGTGGGTAAGTAGGGATTAACCAGCTAACACTCCAATCCTCTTAAATTTCTCATAGAGGCTCTTAGAAGGTAGGAAGAGTTATGTGGCCCTGAATTCTGTCTACCTACCTACCCACCCACACATCAATTATCTTCAAGATGATTCTTTATCAACTGCCTAGATAGTCCTTAAATCTTCTTGGCATATATATATATAAATATGAATTCTGCTTCCTACAGGAGATGGAGTAGCATTTCGACTAATTCTACCTAATGCATTAAGCAAAAAAAATTAAGCTGAAAGACCAAACTGAAGAAGGAACGCTACCTTTGACAAATGTTGATCTCTTTTCTCTATATATCCCTGATTAAAAACTAGAACAGAAGAATGCCCTTAGGTAGATGCCATAGATATTATTGAAAGCAAGGTTGTATTCAATAATTTCAGTATGACCCTAAACCCCCTTACTCCAACATGGAGAGTTGTATTTATTGAGAATTGCCAAGTTAAGTATGTTTCCTTAGCTTCCTTTAACCCAAATTATCTGCAATTGTATAATTGCAAGGAATGGAACTGATTTAAGTCAATAGTTGCATGCCTAACGCATCTGTTACAGAACAAAAAGCATCTCAAAGCTTCCAGTTTATCAGGTGCAAATGATTTCTGCCCTAGCCCTCTGAATGCAATTTGCACAGGGAATTCAAAGCTCTGCCCATTTTAAGAATACACTTAAATGTAAGAAGTGTTACATAATGAATGGAATGCAGCCGGTTAAGGGCAAAAGTGTGACGAAAAATTCTTTCCCACCATTCTTACTGATGAAACAGTATATGCTTTTGGCACTGGCTCACAGGATTGAATAAGCAATTCATCCAAATGTATTCCTACCGTGAAATAAACTGCATAAGCGCAACAGCCATTAATGAAAAGGACAGAGGTGCGGGTGGAGGAAAGCATCTTACTTTAAATATTTAGAGACAACCTTGTTTAACTGTGATGGCCAACCTATGGCAGGCGTGCCACAAGTGGCACGCAAAGCCATTTGTGCTGGCATGCGAGCCACAGGCAAACTTAACTTACTGTGCATGTGTATGCCTCACAGCTGATTTTGGGGGGGGGGGGGGGGTTGAGGCCTTTTTTGGCCTCCCAGAGGCTTGGAAAAAGCTTCTGCAAGACTTCTCAGGCTGAATTATAGGCCCGTTTCGTCACTTCCTGTAATACCAGAAGTGATGAAACGGTCCTATAATTCAGTCTGAGAAGCCACTAGGAGGCCGAAAAAGGCCTCAAACCAGCCGAAAAATCAGCTGTGAGGCACAGTGCAGGTAAGGGGGTGGGGGATTGTTAGCGCATGTGCAGGAGGCATGGGAAGGGGGGCACGTATTGCATTCTGGGTGCTGGCACCTGAGGGTGAGTGCACTGGCGCGTTTGCAATTTTTGGCACAGGAGCCTAAAAAGGTTAGCCACCACTGCTATATATTTTTTGCATGAGGGGAAGAGGTGAAAAAGTCATCCATGAAAGGTTTTCTTTTCAATGAACTTGCTCTGTCGTGAGTTGAAAAGCTCCAAACCCTTTCCAGGAAAAGAAAATGATTCTTCCCAATCCTCAATTCCCCATATAAACACCTCCCAGAAAAACCCACTAGGCCCTCTCACTCACGCATTACTTAGAACATGGAATGCAACCAGTAGTGGGATAGCAGGTGTGTGTGTGTGGGGGTGTAATTTAACAACCAGTTCGCCCAGGGTCAGGCTATCATGGGAGGCGTGGCCTATCCCCGCCGCACATGTGGGACAAGCCTCCTGCGGCGGTCAACCTGACCCTGGGTGAACCGGTTGTTAAATTATCCCACCCACCCTGCTGTCAAAGTGGATCCTGGGCGCTGCACTCCACTGCAATGGAGAAACAGGAAACAGAGCAACCAGCCATTGCAGGATCCACTTTGATAGTGGGGTGGGGGGTGGGGATAATTTAATAACTGGTTCACCTGAACTGGTGCAATCTAGCTGAATCCCACCATTGAATGCAACTTCCTACATCCCTTCAACAAGATAGCCCCTTTATAATAGATGAACATTATATTACAAGCAAGGTATGACCGAATCACAATCCCTATCATCCCTCACCAATAGGCCAGCTGAAAAATGCTGGAGAGGTAATATTTGGAGGTCCATCTGTTAGCCACCTCCACCCCAATAGAAGAGATTTTCCATGGTCATCTTCTTTGATTTGAATGGGAAGTATTCAGGAAGCAATATATATGAATTAAAATCAGAATGATTACGAATGTATAACAACTTCTCGGTCCAGTTAATCCACTTGCAACCATAATATGTGTCTATGTGTAAAAAGAGAGATACTTTGAGAAAGGATTTGGCAAAGTTGCCCAACCTTTCTCAAGGCAATCAGTATCTCTCTTTTGATAAATATTATTCAAGATGAGAAAATTGAGAAAAGAAGGTCAACAATGCATCTCGACATTGATTCTATCAACTCACCAGTGCACAGAGGAGATCCACAGCCTCTAAAACAAGCTCTTGGTGTCCAATCCGGGTGACCCCCAGTTCTTCAAGATCCTGGTGGGAAATCTGTAACAGCTGAGCACCATTTATCTTCTCTCGTTCAAACTTTTGGACATACTGCTGAAGACAATCATCCAGTCCTGTATAAAAAAAAGAGCCAATGTAATTGTATTTTTTTATTTAGCTTTAATTTAAAACCATGCACATAAATATCCACACAACTCTTACCCTGGTTAATATTGCCTAAATAAAGCATTCTGTCTCTACCTCTTATGCCTAATTAAAAACACTTCAAAAATAAAAGCAGGAGAGGCAAAAAAATAAATCATGAAAGCAGAGAAACACAGTATTTATGAATACAAATATTTTGGGGGTTGTTGGGTTTTTTTTAAATTGCTTACTTGGGATAATCTTGTTGGGTAATTCTCAATGCCTCTAACGAACCCATATTCATATAACCCTGCACTTTTCCTTTGTCTCCATTTTATATCACTTCTACATTTACCTCCATTACTTTCATATACAGGTAGTCCTTGACTTACAACTATTCATTTAGTGACCATTCCAAGTTACAATGGCTGTCAGGCGACAGCCGCTGTCTATATCCCACAGGTTGAGTCGGCTGTACGTGGGCGGCTGTTCTGTCATCCTTGGCTGTAGTTAATTGCTTGCTGATTGAACTAAGCCCCTGATTGTTTCTCATTCCAGGACCTGATTCTCGCCTAAGGGGGGGGGGGGGAAGCCTGTCAGCTTGGAAGCCATTTTTCTTTGAGGCTTCTGGGCTGCCACATTCAGTGCCTGGGGATTTGGGAGGGGGGCTTCAAGGAGCGTTGGAAGATTAGCCACAACATTCCTTTCTCATACAGTCAAGGACATGTTACCCTGCACCTGGAGAGGAGTGCCTGGGGATAGTCTCCAGTTGGAACGAAATAATGATTGGACCATGTGATGGACTATGGGGTGCAGAAGTTGGATTTTGGTTTTCTTTGAGCTAGGGAAAACCCGGAACTCTCAGATTCTGGTTTTCCCCAGATGTGCCAATATGACAGTGTTATACTTTTTTGAGGCTTCTGGGCTGGCAACGGCATTGAAACTTTTTTTTTACACAACCACTGCAACATCCTCAAGCCACATGATCAAAATCCGAATGCTTGGCAAGTGGCATGTATTTATTATGATAGCTACAGTATCCTGGAGTCATGTGGTCATCTTTTGTGACCTTCTAACAAGCAAAATCAATGGGGAAGCCAGATTTGCTTAACAACTGTGTTATAACTTAACACCTGCAGCAATTCATTTAAAATCTGCGGGAAGGAAAGTCATATAATGAGGCAAAACTCACTTAACAGCTGTCTTGCTTAGCAATGGAAATCTGGGGCTCAGCTGTGGTTATAAATTGAGGACTACCTCTTATTACAATCAAATTGCATAGATCATGCCACAATGACTCCTCTGTCTGCTACTAGCTTTAGTGATGTGATATGATGGAAAGTAATGATTGGGACAGAGCAACACTTAATTTCCAATTTCCAAAGTTGGTAAGCAACAACCTTCATCACCGCTGTTATTACGGAGTGAATTGTTAACACTCGCCAACAATAGCAAGATAAGAATAAGACATCCAGATTTTATGGTCATCCAAGTGGCCAGGTAACCATAGCACTCTCACTCATAAAGAACCCGGAGGGAAGTGAACTTTATGCAATGACAGGATTTAAGAAAGAGCCTATTGCTGGGATTCCCTCCCTCAATTAAGTATGTTAGTAAAGCAGGAAGATTTCAGTTAGGGATCTGAACTGGCTTGCTTCTGAATAGTTTTGTGACTCTATCACTTCAGATGATTGTGAAACAGTGTGGATCGTACAGAATATTTTTATGTTTCACAGCAGTGCAAAATCTAGATTCTCAAATGCACAACTTTTTGGTGCCTGGAGGTTGTACTTATGGATGGGGTGACAGTATCTAAAACAATAGGATGCAAAAACAGAAAGTAATATGGAAACGATCTGGCCTTCATACCAGAACAAAACCATTATTTTTTATTACCCCACCGGGTTCAAAAAGGAAGTTTTTAAAATGATTTTTAAGCTTTTATAATGCAGTTTTCATGGGCTTACTGCTAGGAATTTTACTTACTGCCACTAATATTGTATGGTTAATTTTTACAGCTAGGGTTAGGAAAGATCTAGAGAAAACCAAAAAGTTATTCAGACACTATCTTTAGCCCTGATGTGTCTTCTACCCATGGAATAAAGTTCTCCATCTGTCCATCCACCCACCCACCCACCCAACTAATAGGCCAGTCCAATCATTGAGGCAGTCACTGGTTTTGTTTTTAAGCAAATATAAACTGATTCTACACACACACACACACACACACACACACACACGCACATGTGCGCGCGTGCACACACACACACACACACACACACACACACACACACACACATACAAATCTTATCTAAAATTATAACGAACATAGGTTGAACACAATTTTGGCAACCATTGCCACCCAATTTATTACTTCTGCTCCGGAGGGCACAAGGTCAAATTGTGTGAACCCTGAATAGTTACAACATAAAACTTTGGGTTAGTTATCAGTCTTTAAAAGTGCTGGAGTTTGTGCCATTTCATTTAGCACCCTACTGATAACGAAAAAATGGGATAAAATGAAACTCTGGAATGCCAAAGAAAACAATGCAACTGTTATTAATCCATTAGTTCAATGTGCTAAAAGCTTCTTTGTCTGGATAAATTCTTTTCCAGGGCAACAATCAGATAATCAAAATAGGCCACCTAACAAAGAATCTTTCAACGGTTTAGTTCAGCAAAAACCAAGTATCTAACTTTAATTCTTAAGTCAGTTATACAACGTATGTGGGAGGCACAAAAATCCAGAACACCATGTTTCAGTACAATATAAACATTGAATATAAACTCAGGCACATCATCCTCAAACAGGTGTGTATGGAAGAAATCATATCTCATCCAAGTTAAGTTAAGTTACTAAGTAAAGGGGAAGTACCATCCTAACTGTTTTTATTAAAATGCAGTGTGTTGTAAAATGTTGCTTTACAAAAAAAAAAATGTAAAAACCACCTTTCTCTCTCAGCGCTTGATCAAAAATACGACAAAATGCAAATGGTTTGCTTATGTAAATACACCACTTCTTGGATATTTTAAGGAAAACTACATTCCTCACTTTTCCACCACCACCAATGTGTGTTTTGAGGAGGATGTTAACACAGAACTGCTTTGCTTCTAATATTTGGGGAAACTGAATGGATCTTTGCAAAGAGATCTAAATTGAGATGTTCAGAATCCATATGCACATCAAAATCATGTCTACTATAATACTGCTGCAATCATATAAACTGGAAGTCCATTCAAGTAGAGCCTCATGCTTGATAATCTCAAGGATACCTCCTTGCAATTTGTTTTACAACAATGAGAATGGTGTTAGTTAAAGCTTAGTTCTAGTAAAGACTGTTCCTAGATTACCTTCATTCCTACATTAGCTGCATTTCCAGGAAGTTCCTACCATAAGAAAATAGAAGAAATGTCCATGTACTGTAGAGTCCTTGGCAACAAGATGGCAACCGTTTTCGACTGTTGCCTTTTAGGATGTTCTTCAATTTCCCTTGATACACTTAATGTTTTGGAGAGGTATCCCATCTATGCTGTATCCCGATTTGACCCCATTTAGTTTTTCAAGATCAGCCAAAGCTACCTATATGATAATTTATTGAATTTATTATGCCACCTGATCTCAATGACTAGGGGTGCCTTACAATAATAACAAAAAGATACAATAAAATGAACAAAACATAAAAGATAGAAGACAGAAGATGGTAAATGAGATAGATATATGCAATGAAGGAATGGGTCCCACTCTCCGTCACCAAAGGCCTGGGTGAAACAGTAAAGTAGGGGGCATCTGGATACCTCATTCCAGAAGTCAGATGCTACTGTAGAAAAGGTGCGTTTCTAGGGTTCCAATCAGTTGCATTGTTTAATGTAAGGAATACAGAGGACAGCACCACTGCAGGATCCAATTGGTCAAGGAGATGTTATGGGAGACAGATGATAACCAGGCTCTATTCCACACAGATTATATAGATCATAACCAGTCCCTTGAAATAACTTGGCAACCAGTATAGCATGTGAAGCAGAGATGCTGCATCAATACTGCTACTGCATTCTAGACCAGTTGAAGTTTCTGAGTGATTTTCAGCAGCGGACCAAGTACATTGCAATAACTACTTGTCTATGAATCACTTTTCTGCTTAAGGAGATGGAGGTACAGAAACATTGAATGAATGAATGAATGAATGAATGAATGAATGAATGAATGAATGAATGAATGAATATGTTTAATATGTTTCTAGACCAAGGGTTTTCAAACTTGGCAACTTTAAGGCTTGTGGACTTCAACTCCCAGAATTCCTGAGCTAACATGACTGGAAGAGGAATTCTGGGAGTTGAGATCCACAAGTCTTAAAGTTGCCAAGTTTGAAGACCCCTGTTCTAGACCATCATCTCCTCAAGCTTCAAAGCGACTTGTACACAAGTGGTTATCTGAAGGCCCTCCCTGATTTAGGAGAAGGAACAATAACTCCAAATGGAGTTGCATGTAGGTCTCCCTGGCCATAGCGGACCCCTGTTCTTCAAACCAGAGAAATTAAAAATGATGTATAGTTAATATTTATAGCAAATCTTCAGCATACTCCTTCCTGCAGAATGAATGTGCATATATTCAAGACCATGCCAACATATACTGAATCACACTTTTTTGCTCATCCCCTATAAGTACGTCATTGTTGTGATGGACCAGTGCATATACAGGATTGATAAAACAACAGGGTTTAAACACTGTGCTAAGTCAGGAAGCTTTGTTAATCATGATTTATTTCATTGGCTGAATCCATAAATCATGCTAAGCCAAAGACTATAGTTTTCAAAGCATAGCTTGTTATGTCTGAATGACACAGTTGAAAGCACAGGGTAACCCAAATAAAATTCTAACTTCTGAGTAATTTCTATGACTGAACCGGACTACACTAACATAAGAGATTTAAAGGAACAGGACATGAAACCACTGTTGATCCAGTGTGCTAGTTCCCTCAATGAGTAACAGCTG